CTTCGCTGAATTGGGTGGGTTGACAGAGGTGACGGACCATGGTTATGTGTCGAATCCTCCACCGTAATAGACCACCTACCCGTCTCGAGACTTAGCCGAAGCGCTATACTGAAGGGACAGTTATTGGCAAGTGTCGTAGTCTGGCGCTCCGGAGGTCTATCAGGTCGCTTTCTTATCGGACGACCTCTGTCACAACATAGTCGGACGGTCTTCATGACCCCTTTCTTAGTACGTTTTGAGCGGAGAATTGAGACTGCATAGCCATATTGACGCCCTAAAGCATTGATCGTGGTGATTCCGTGCTCTGGCGTGTCGTAGTACGTATCGAGAGGGGGTAGCGGGAATGTATGGAGGCTTAGCGGCGGGTCTTGGAGGCTTGGCGCGGTGTTTTGGAGGCTTGGCGGCGCGTCATGAAGGCTTGGCAGCGACGGTGGGGACTCGGGAATAGCTTCAGGCTCAGAATCGGACGGCAAATCAGGCTGCGAGGAAGCCATCTTAAAGGAGAGTGAAATGCGAGGGAAATAGGTGAAAAACGCGAGAGAAATGGGTAGTAAAATGGGAGGTTTGAAGGTGTAAACAACTATTATTTTGAATTCCTCATTGGGTACTACAGTGGAACAGGAGTGACCTATTTTTACTAGGGGTCTACATAGTAATTAGAGGTACCTCGAGTTCTAGTCTATCTGCAGTGAAGTGGTAGACCAGGTGGTAATAAAATAAAAGTTCGGCACAAAAGCGGTGAGAAAAGCGGTCAATTTATGCCTGGTCTATAAGGCACTCAGGCCAAATTCAGGCCAAATTCAGGCAGGGGGGGGTGTAATTACTGAAGGGGGGGGTGTAATTACCGATCCCCTATGTGGGGCACAGCCGCAAATATGCTGTTTCATTCGTGGTGAGGTATTGGGTTTAGTATGTGATATCCTATCCAGGAAGTCCCATCAAGAAACTCTATGAATATATGGGATAAGGGGGGCGCCAGGAACAAAGCAGCATTATGCCTCCGTTGAAAACGGTGGACGGCATCATCGAACCGACAAATAAGAAGGTCCAGGCCTTGCGCGAGGCCTTCTTTCCCACACCTCTAGAAGCTGATCTCTCAGACATTGAGAGCACTCGGAGCCAACCTCAGAAACCGCATATTACCTTCCCACCTATCACGGAGCAAGAACTCACCGATGCAATACGCCGAGCGCCTCCGAATAAGGCTCCGGAGCCGACGGCATTCCCAGTAAAGTGTGGAGACTACTAGCAGGCGAATCAGCCTTATAGCGCGTTTTCTTCCTCATAATCCTCGCTATTTTCAACGCCTGCTTACGCACTAGCTATAAGCCCCGGCGTTTCCAGAGCTCAATCACAGTGACGCTAAGAAACGCTGGACCTAGGGAGTACCGCCTGCCGAAGGCGTACAGACTTATCGCGCTGCTTAATACGCTTGGCAAGGTTCTTAAAGCTATTATAGCTACTAGAATTGCCTAGACTGTCTAAGAGCATCGGCTGCTGCCTAATACTCACCTAGGCGGGAGAAAAGGCGTCTCTGTAGACTATGCTATTTAGTTGATCTTAGATCGGGTTCACACTACGTAGGGCCATGGCCAGGGTCAGAACGCAAGTATACTATTATTGGACGTCGCTAGCGCCTACAACAACCTCTTATACAGACGTCTTCTCCATAACCTAAAACAAATGGGCATTTCTGAACTAGTCCGAAGGGTGGGAGCATTTCTCATCGGCCGGAGTACTCGGATCCGTCTACCCGGCCACCTTAGTGATACGTTTCCTACTCCGATAGGAATTCCACAAGGCTCTCCTATATCACCGATCCTCTTTCTTCTATTCAATACACCACTAGTCAAAAGCGGCTCATTCTAACGGGCTACGGCCACACTAAAGCCTTTGGCTAGATGATTAATGTCTGCATTCTAGCTGTCTCAAACAGCTACGAAGAAAACGTATGGCTCATTGAAAAGGCTCTCGAGAGAGCTAACCAGTGGGCCAAACGTCAGGCAGCAAGTTTTGCACCTAACAAGTTCGAACTAATCCACTACAGCAACCCACGCGCCGCCATCGAGCCTACGCCCTAAACGATCTCTCCGAATCCTCCCTCCGAATACGATGTCTAGGCCGTCCCAAGCAATTAGACCGAAAGAGCTGTCTAATTATGACAGCATTGTTTCTAACCCGCTGGCGACCCGCTACGTTGCTAAATTCATGCACCAAACCGGCCTACTTGCTCAGTTTCAACATGCTGAGCAAGAAGAGTCCGATGATGAAACCGGAGACCGCGAGGTCATATAGCAGAGCCCCGAAGACGCTAGGCACTTACCATTGCTTGCTACCACGTTTGAGGAAGGAGAGAGCCTCACTTAGCTATTTGAATACACGCTGCCTGACTAGGCGATCCCTAAACGGCCTGAAACAACAATGAACAGCAATCGAGGCTGAAGTGAGGATGCCGGAGAACGGGGTTTGATCTTGCTACAGTAGGAATTGGCGGGGAGCCTGATGTGGAGGTGTTTACATGAACTATAAGAAGAGAGAGGACTTGGACAGGTGGAGGTGCATCCACGCATTTATTTTACATTCAATGCTTGCTGGTATTGAATTTCTCATTTGTATTGCGGATTTTGTGGATTTTGGGTTTGGCTTACATGTAATGGGCTGGTGCTTCCACTCTTTGAGAACCAGCCTCACTTTTTGTACTGGAGCATGCTCAGGCGTACGGACACGAGTTCTTGCTTCAACCGGATAGAAGCGCCTGCATAGCCATTAAGATACTAGTTAGGCTGCATCAGGTAAATAGAACTTTGATTGATTAATTGATATATGGGATAAGGGAAGTTCTAAAAATTCCAATGAAAAGCCACTGCTGTTACTCACATCAGGACCTTCCAAGAAATTGGCCAGGATTCGGATCTGATGGGGTTTCACCTGACGCGCTGGTGTCCATGGGGAAATATATGGATGATCCATGCAAGAAAGCGGCGTTTTGGTCGATCCAGACCACGATCCGATGGAGCAAGCCATTAAGTCCAAGCGATGTGAGGCCCCCTCGTAAACTAATGGCTTTTGCAAGACCCTGCATATGGATATCGTAATTCTCAAGACTGCCGAACATGGCTTCGTAGCTTGCCATTTTTGCTATGGCCCCTATTAAAGCATCATATGTACTCTCTGGCCGTTGAGCATCAAGACTGCGATTGATGGATGATACAGCTTCATAGCGAAGACTGAGGAGGTTGATCCTCATGTCGCCAGGGTTACCCTGCAAGGAGGCATAATGCGATGCCGCAAGAAGAATAATGACAGAGAACAAAGCGGGCTCAGTCATCACTAACGGAAACCAAATGGTCCTCAATAGGCCGGGGTTTCCAGGCAGATCAAGTTCAGGTATGTCAACTGCCATGTGTATCAAGTCTATCCATATTAAAAAAAGCCCACGTTGACTACATCAGAACTGAAAAATTTAACTTACAGTGATCGACTAGCAGCGGAGTCCAAGGTTGAGCCGAGACAGGATATGACTGGAAAGGATCGACTCTGAGTCCGCCTATTTGGGGCGAAATCGAGACTGGATCCGAGCTGAAAGGGTTGGTCACGAGCCCGGTTGGATATTCGAAAGTCTTCGTCCCATGCGAACCATGAAGCAACATTCCCCTCCGGCGTCGCTTATCTCGACGCGCAGACTGCTTCCATTGATGACGTGCCACGTGAGACCGAAATTCGGGTTCTTTGGCGAGCTGAAGGGCGTCCCTTGGTGTCTGAACATTGACAAAGACTATATCCATTCCAATATTTCAAAAATGAGGTGATCATTTAGTCGTGTGCGATATTCCTAGCTGTCTCTGGGCAGGAGTGAAAGTGTGATGCAGGTGAGCGTGGTAGACACGGCCTCGGAATTACGGATTCTCCGCTCAGTCCATTGCTCTCGAGGTTAACCTTTTCTAGCGGACCTGCAACGGACTAGCCGTTCGTCAAGTGATGGCCTAGTAGTACATGTGAGATGCGAAAGGGAGAAAGTTATAGCATGTAAACTCCGACCATGATGATGACGATCAATTCATTTGCCCGATGTAGCTCGCTCCATATATGTATCTCAATTGTTGAGATTCATGGTGCACCAGGCATGTAATGCCTGATCCGTCAAGCCGTGAATCTAGTGATCAGCATTGGACCTACCATTGAGAGTAAAGTTCAGGAGAAATGCTCTCCATTTATATAGGTTCTCTCTCAATGTGAGAGAGATCAGGCTTAAACAATCTCGCTGGCGTTGACATACATGCTTCCCAGTACATTCATCGTGTAATTTAAACATCAACTACAAAGTTATAGAAATTCTTTAAACTCCTCTTAGAGACCAGATACCCCCTAAAGAGCATTGGGTTTTTAAGGAAATGTCCCTATAACCTGCCGTTGTTGTGATACTATCGTCACGGAGCGAACTGCACCGCGGTAATATCCTGCAGTGAAGCCGAGATGTCTCCAGCGTATCCCAGTCGACATGTCAGTGCCACTTGACTGCCTCGCTGCCCCTCATTATAAATAGATCATTCAAGGGAACCTGGAGTTCCCCAAGAATCAGTCTCTGTATTCAATCCAATACTGTACCAGAGACATCTTCCTCTTCCCTAGTTGGCAGGCTCTATCCTATTAACACTGGAAACCCTTTATACTTTACAACTATGTTGTAATTTATCGCATTTACCACGGTGTTTTAGGGTGACCAGCTCGGTTGGGTGGCCAGCTCACTAGGGAAATACGTTACCTAAAAATAATCTGGTGGAATCTTTCATCCATTTGGAAATATGGCTGGTGCTGAGCACAATTTGTTTTCTACCTTTGATATTTGAAAACACATCTAACGTTAGATTCTAGTCTTACAAGCTACTCGATCCGGCGACGCCTCTTGTAACAATGGCGCCCTACATATCCCGACTCTGCCTTTCGTTGGGGGCCACCGCGCCTACCGACGCTGCGGTAGAACCCACGTTGATCGAAAGTGATCACAAAAAAGTCGCGAAATAGAGCAAAAGAAAGCGGCTCTAGAAAAACTGCTGTTCCATTTCTTGTACTGACTAGAAGGAGAACAGCATTCTCAGGCTTGCCACAGGTCTCATAATGGAGTGTTGCACCGTTTCACTTGCATCTGCTTTGATTGAGGCCCCATAGTATTGATTGGCTTGGCCTTTGGGTCGATGGATTACTTCAAACAATGACGGATGAGTGGCCAGATATGAAAATCTTGAGATTGGCAGTGGGAGACAAGTGAAACGTAAGATATACTAAGGCTACTTCTCAGAGAGACTCGGTTAAACTGCTATAGCGTCAACAAATGTAAGGGATTTTCTTGATAACCAAGCCCATATAATAGAATTTACAGCCTACATATGTACTGCGTACACGTATACTGTACTCTGTATATTTTAGTGCTCCACCATAGTCTTTTTCTTTTTTGAATCCCTGTTAAAGGGGCCTTGTTCATCATATTCACTGACTATTCTGCAGGTATTTCCAACCACTCAAAGACGAGATCAAACACTCCGTGTGAGCTATTCTATAGCAATGATTGCAAAAAGTCGTATGTTACGTGAAAATGCTTTCCACATGCTGCCTGCTCCTAAACCCAATAATTCTGTAAACAAACTATGACGCCTTTGAAATGGAATTTCGGTAGCTCTTTTAAGTAACCGTGACTTATGCCTTGTAAATAGACAAAGACGAAGGGAAGTCACTATCACCGCCACATGCCTTATTATAATCCCCAAACAGATCGACTCTTTCTTTCACAAAGTCATGGAACCGTTCCTTTGTACAGCTCCCCCAGGTCCATCCTGACGGTTAACCAACGGCTGAGGACCAGCATTGTTCAAGATTCCGATAGTAATCTCCTTCATCAAATCCATCACACTCGCACGACATTTTCTCAATACTGATATTCGTGAGGAATGGAGAATCTCACAACTTTTCCGGGCGCGATTATAGGTGATTCTGTTCTCGGGCATGGTACCATTCACATGATTCGCTTCCGTGTATGCGCTGTTGTTATACAATCCCAGCGCAGTGATAACGGTAGGCGGAAGCTCGCGATGGGTGAACGAGACGTGTAACTGTTGCGACGAAGATTCATCGTTTAATGCTGCGACGCTGGCATTAACCCACGGAACCCCGAGGCTGGCAGATAACTCCCGGTCGTAGCCTGTGTTGTGGAAGTACATCTCGTAGCCACACAGCTCGTCAGTCGATCCTCACCTTGTTCGGTTCCGTTCCTGACTTACCCGGAGGCAGGTGGAAGTCTGCCGTGAATGTGCCATAATTGATTCCCACCTGGGCTCCATAGTTGGAACCGGAGTGACTCATCGACGCCATGATCGTAAAAACGTGCCTGTTTGTAGTTCACTACAAGCTCTTGTCTAGGTCTCAGCTGAAAGAGGGGCACGTCATCAGGTATCTCGGCTCCGCGGCGCTAAGACAGGAGACCAGATTAGCAGACCACCCACCTCGAGCAGTGTGTTGGTCCTGCGTCCCTCGTATCTACATATGTCAACAGTACTGCCGTGGTTCTCCTTTCCGAGAGCTACTTTAAGGCCTCGAAATCTGCGACCTTGCTATGGACATTAGGACTAGTGAAATTACAAGGATATTCTACAGTATGTCCCTAAAGCTTTCTGAATAATAATTGTCGGAAAAGTTACAAAATTCAAATAAGACCATCTGAGTGGCTCACTATCCACCCATTTGTCTGTAGTCAAAGAAGGAATCAACATCTCAACCCACTACCGTGATCATCTTGTTAAGAGGATGCACAGGATGTAATCATGCCATGGCTAAAGCGTAGGTTGATGACCCAGGAATCGCAGAACTAGTTTGCGCAACAGCAGTTGCATATTCTTCTTTTAGCCGTCCTTAGACGCAGCATAAAGAAATCCACGGACGTCCTCTTTAAACAGGTCAAAGGATCTTGCGGAGGTAACGAACTTTGCAGTTGATTCTAGTTCGAATAGCGTGGTATCTTCCTCAATCGGCTCATATTCACCGCCGCTTCTATCCTCATGGCTACAATGATCTTCACCCTCCCCATTAGCGGTGTCTGCACTATGTGAAGTGTGAAGTTGCGTACCTAGCTTGCTGTCAGATATTTTATCATCGGTATATATCGGTGCTAGCTGTGCGGTAGAAGATGTTTCAACTAGCAGACGTTCAAGTAGGAGAAGACTATCTTTCCCCTGCTCGAGCATGGTGTTCACTTTCTCTCGAACGGTATATTTGGTGGGCATGACGATGACGTGAATTGCTGAAGAGATGCGGTGACGAATCGATCCCAAGAAACGGGCAGCTGATATCTGGGTTGGACCATGTGCCTCCGAAAGAATGTCCCGGTGAAGTTTCCTCAGCAAACGTATGTGATTTCTCATGAACCTGTCTTTACTCATTATCTGAGCTGCCTCCTTGTATAGGGCCAGTAGCTCCGAGTCGCCAGTTAGTGTCTTCACTATATAGATCACCGCAGCTTGTTGGTAGTTCATCTCCGGGAACGAGGCAGCGTCGGAATATACGGTCCAAGGGTCCTCAAAGCTGAAAACAGACTCTGTGTCGTCAGGGCTAAGTGCGTCAAAAGCTTCAAGCCGACGCACAACCCTACGCACAACCCGTTTGAAGGTAGAGATATCTTCTATGTCTATGTCAGAATCGTCTTCCATGTCTTCCCCTTCCGGGAGTCGTTCCACTCGTCTAGATTGTCTATATTCCGCACGTCGTGATCTATTTGCGTCATTTCTCCCCGATCTTTCGGGGAAGAGTATCCTTGGGGATCCGGGTGTGCGAAAGTCGGTGGCTGAAGAGCTTTCGAATTCAGTCTCGTATTCAGCGCTAATGACCTGTGTTCCACAGGCAGGACTATTGGAAAAGAGTCAGTCAAAAAAGTGTGCTGTAGACTTCCATATGGTCGTACCATGTGGCCCAAGTTTGGGCTTTGGGCCTTGTCCATGTGCCTTTGCAAGTTGGCTCTGGGCACCGCTCTATTTGCAAATCCCGCACAGAGGGGAGATCGAATCCCTGCCAAATTTGCACAAGCGCAGACATAGCCACCATACTCCCTGGAGCAATATGACGGCGCCAAGTCGTCTTGTTTAGGATGCGATTGTTTGCCATGCTCATAAGTACATATCGACCTCGATCAATCAAGGGAATTCCCTTAAATTCTTCCTGGACAAGCGCTTTAACCACCTATGATCCACATGTCAGTCCCAGTCTTTGCCACCTGTACCTGCAACTGCAAATAACCGAGTATATTGTTCGCACGTTGAAGTTTCGGAAGTATTCGTATGGTAATACTCGCGGAGGGCTTCCCACAGCATCGAAGAACGTAATGTTGAATTTCGCTATTAAGGCTGGCACTAGCTGCCTGGGCGGCTTCACAGATCGAGATAAAAGCAAACTGTAATACTGTATTAGCTCAGTATATGTTGGAAAAGAATTTGAATTCGCACAAAAGGTTCTTCAGAAATTGGCCGAGATAAAGCAGAACCAGATAATATCTGCTGTTAGTCAGCTTCTGCGCTCCAATAGACAATGCAAAGCAATTCAATATTTCCAGGGTCGCTCGTTGGCCAGATGCATCTAAGGAGTCCGAGCCTGTCATTCAGGACTACGAGATATATCAACAACCCTTTTCTAAGGGGTAGCTCTTGGAACAGCCTCTTGTGCAGAAATGGCTGGATTGGAGTTACCACACGGAATTTGACTTAAATCAAGTGATTCAGGACCACATTACTGAGGATCGTCTTTTGCTCGAAGTTGGAGTGGCGTGATGAGTATCTCATTTCGCCGGTCGATGCATTGCCTTGGAATATATCAAATCAAATGCAAACCATTCCTTACTTTGGCCGTCATGGGAACTTTCAGCTTCCTACTCAGCACAATCCCAGTCTACCACTATCTGCGCATCGGCCAACTCGGTCGTGCCGAAGTCGTCAAGTGAGTCCGTCGCCGACTCCACATATCCTTCAGGTGTGCTCTCCGCCAGCCGTACTTTCCGAACTACGTGCTAATTACGCTATCCGAACTCAAGCCTGTTTCTCAAAGATGCTGGAATCGAAGTGAAACACGCTCTCTACCCGTCTGACGCGACGTGGCCTCAGCAGAGCGAGACCCTGAAAGAGCATGAAAGAGCAAGGTATCACCCGCACGGGGAAGTTGCCTGCGCTCGAGTACAAGGGCCAGAGACTTACACAGGTAAGCTCAGTCGCCGACACAGTCCATGGGAAGAGTATTGACAACGGCAGCACATTCCTATCCTGCGATACCTCGCCCGCGACCTTGGAGGTTATGACGAGGAAACGAACTGGGAGAATTATGTCGTTGATGCTGTGTCGGACATTTACATTGATTGGAGGGTGAGTATGAACATTGGAGGTACAATGTTGATTATCAATACTGATTGGATCAGGCGCAATGGATTATGAACCTGAGAGAGGAAGCCGGAGTACAAGGATAAATATGTGCCGGGTTATTACAACCTCGTTGCGGAGTACTACTCGGATTATAAAGGACCGTACCTGCTGGGTGATAGGGTCACTCACACTGACTTTGCGATCTATCAATCTATTGATAACGATCGGAGAACGGGGACGCTTCCGGTATGATAACATTAGGTCTCTACCAGGCCGCTTGCTAATTTCGTTGTGTTTAGTCGGTCTTGCCGGATGCTTTGGTCAATTTCAAGGAGGCCTTTGATCGGTGGCGAAATAGGGATGCGCTGTTGGTATACTAGAGGACTCTTGCCAGATGGCGTGAAGGTCGAGATCCAAATCAGTCTACTGATGTTAGCACAAAATAACCATTGGAACGAGGGGTACAGACCATTGAACCATGCAGTCCATTTGCGTCCAAAACTGACAATTAGGTGCTGTTCCATTGTCGTTCGGCATTCGGCCCTGGTCGGAGACCGAGGGCTTCACATTCATCATTCTCTTTCCTCGACATTCCGCCTTCTCCGCTAGATGGGTCCTTATAAAGCCAGAACATCCAAGTCCGCTTTTTCTCCTTATTTTATTTCTAAGTTCACTTTCACGCATTTAACCGTTCTATATACAACCCACATCACCAATAATGCTCACTCTCAACATCGCCTATACGGAGCTAGTCAACAGCTCCGATCCCTCTATCCCAACCCTGACCCAAGAACAGGTCTGGAACGGCCTAAAGTCGAAGGCCCGACGCCCTCAAGACTTCATCCCCTCCTTCGATGACTCCCGAGTCATCGAGGAACGGGATAATGGTTCCTACATCGTGAGGGAGGCACATGTTGCGGCTGATCTCAGCGAATCTCCTATGGCCGGAAAATGGACCAGGGAGGAATGCAGATTGCATGAGCCGGTCAAGGTGAGAGAGCCGGAACATAAAAACGGCCCGACTGTCTTGAAAGCTTCGAATTTGTCATCACATGGTCTAATCAGAGAGTAGACTTACTTCACGCTACCTGGCGGGTCGATAATTCAGAATATTCTTTCCGAAGGACCTGGTCAGGCTCTGTATCTCACGTTTACGTATGAATGGAAGCTACCTGATATCAAGCCTGGGACAAAGGAGGCAAAAAAGGCGAGGGACGACCACATGAAAATTGCGATATCCTCGGTTCAAGGAACAATCAGGGCCTTGAGAACAATGTCAGAAGTGACTGAAGTGTGAATTATGGAATGTACGTATGAGAAATGAGCAGGCCTCGGATCGCGGAATATATCAAGCAGAATGAATAGGACGGATACTGGGCTTGTCTTGAAGATTCGATTGGCAGTACGGGGTGTCCAATGGTACCTCCAGTTCGAGAACACTTAAGGCAGATCAATAAGATTGTAAGGTCTGATGCAGTACAAGTACTGTTGATCTGTGTGCTGTATATCAACATGTGAAGCCTTCCTTACGCTTTTAGAGCGCCCGGGCAAGTTTGATAAACGACAAGCAGGGCACTTTGGTGGTTGAATAGTTGTAGGTAGACGCACAGGACGACCACTGTCATTATAAGCCGGATAGTGATGTTGTCCCCATGGTCAGTTTTCGCGACACACGAAGCACGAGCCTCTTGCGCTGGTGGGCGCCCCTTCTGTATTTCCCGTGGGGCTCGTAGGTCGTTTGGTCGATGTACTTCACAATGTGGGATACCCATCAATAGCCTCCTTTATGGGAGAAAAGGTAGAGTAACTCATTCTGCTGACTTAATCGCCATGGCAAGATTGGCACTGTATGTGGGAACTCGAGAGGGTCCGGGGACCAAGTGCCGTGGCACTATTCCTATTTTGGTATGTGGACATGTGGGCAAGTGGGCTGGTATCAAACATCACGTCGCTGGTGGACATGGAAGAGACCTTGGCTTCTGGGGTTCGGAATCATTATGTGTTGGCTTTGCTGCTGTTTCTCGGCTATTATCAGCCATATGTAGCTCAGTGTGGTGTTTCTTTCCGTCCTTTAAGAGAGGGTTTGTGGGTCGCTTGTTAGAAACCTGGGTCCATAGTACTGTGAAATGGTGTGTCTGCTGCATGTTCATCCCCGCAATTTCAATATTGGCAGTAGACCTATCCATTGCCTTGAAATGTGAGGTCTGCAGTGAGACTCGAGTTCAGGGGCACAGTGGCTTGCTCAGAGTAGACACCGGGTCGCGGGGGTCCGTGCGCATGTCCTGAATCCCCAGTCAAGCATTCTACATCAGCTTGGCTGCCTCAAGGAGGATAGTGATGTCTTAGAGGCATATAGGAGAAATGGTAAGAAGGAATAAGAAGCTATAAGAACCGGGATCAAGCGACACCTGAGGCAGAAGCCAAACTGTTGGGAAAATAGCTTTCACATGTCAGAGTGGGGGCTGACATGTGAAAGACCCTCTCCTGTTGAGCTGCATTTCTATATCATAAAGATGATAGAGATGAAGCGGAGAGAGGTTTGAAGAGGATAGGATTAGAGAATATAGATATCTCATATGCATAAAGCCACAGAATCCAACTGGTCCTGTGCGCCGGAGCAAACCGCGCGGGGAAGCGATTGGACCCGATACGAATTAGCCACGTTCAAGTCTGCCAGGTTAGGGTCTAAGTTAGTTCCAAGCATCTCTCAACAAAATGTGCCCTATTTCTTGATCTCTGGAGTTTCTCATGTTCTTTTGTTCTACTACACCTCTCCCCTGCATAAGTGTCGTGACTCCATGACCATCTTACACCATTCTCCGTTTAAACTTCATTCTAGCGTCTGAGTCCTTCTTTCCTTCAACATGGCTGTTCTCGATATCACCAAAGATCTACCTACCCTCTTTAAGAAACAGGTGCAGGCCACCCCGGACGCCATTGCGCTAGAGGATGAAACAACCTACACATACCAGCAGCTGGACCACGAGGTCGAAGCTCTCGCCACCCGATTGCGGACCTATGGGGTGAGCCGTGACACCCTCGTGGGTGTACTTCTGCCACGCAGCGCACATTACGTGATCGCGTGTCTGGCGGCCCTCCGCGCTGGAGGAGCATTTCTGGTGCTCGAGCTGGCTTACCCCGCGGACCTCTTGGCGGATGTCATTGAGGACGCTAGTCCTGTCGTCATCATCACCCATCGATCTGAGGCCGAGAAAATTAAGGCTCCTCTACCAGTAATCGCCCTGGATGATCCAGTGGCGGATGTCAATGGGTCCGCCAAGGAACCTTCTCCATTGCCGGCTGATGATGATTTGGACCGTTTAGCCTTTGTGTCGTACTCGTCAGGTACCACCGGCAAACCCAAAGGAATTGCCAATCCTCACCGCGCTCCGGTTCTGTCTTATGATCTCAGATTTGCTGTACAGGATGTACAGCCTGGGGATCGGGTGGCTTGCAATGTCTTCTTTATCTGGGAAATGTTGCGTCCACTGTTGCGAGGAGCGACAGTGGTGATTGTGCCAGACGAAACCAGCTATGATCCGGCCGCCCTGGTCGACTTGCTTGCGGCCAAAAAGGTCACCGAGACCCTGATGACCCCCACGCTGTTAGCTACGGTTCTCTCCCGCTACCCGCGATTCGGCACACGTGTTCCCGATCTGCGAATTATTTGGCTCAACGGTGAAGTGGTGACCACAGATTTGGCTCGCAAGGCCATCAAGATTCTTCCCAACACTCGCTTGCTCAATTGCTACAGTGCATGTGAAACACATGAGATCGCCTGCGGAGATATCCGCGAAATTATTGACGAGGAAGCTCTCTACTGCCCAGTTGGCCCACCGCTCGATCCTTCACATACGTACGTTTTGGACGAAGCTGGCAAACAAGTCGAGATAGGCGCATCGGGAGAGCTATTTATTGGCGGTCCCTTGTTGGCCCGGGAATACATTAACCTCCCCGAGGCCACTGCCAAGGCTTTCACACCTGACCCCTTCGACACTGCACCCGGCGCTCGGGTTTACAGGACTGGCGATCTGGCGCGTAAGCTGCCTTCCGGACTCCTCGAGATTACTGGCCGAGTTGGCGCAATGATCAAGCTCCGCGGCTACTCGGTGGTGCCGGCAAAGGTAGAGAGCGACATCTGCCAATATTTGGCTGTCAGCCAGTGTGTCGTGATTGCTTATGGTGAGGGCCTTGACCGACAACTGGTTGCATATATTGTCGCCGACAAGGAGGCGTCAGCTGATCGTCCAGCTGTCACCATCAACGAGTCTGGCCACAGCCCCGCGGCACGCCGTGCTCTCGAGAAGAACCTCGCACACTACATGATTCCTGCCCTGTGGGTTGCACTGGAGGAACTTCCTACTAGTGAGGTCTCTGGAAAGGTTGACCTGAAGAGCCTCCCGACCCCCCGCAGCGGCAGCCCTAACGGCAGCGAACAGAGCGCCGGAAAGGACCCCATCGGTATCAACGATATCGCTGCTATTTGGGAAACTGTTCTGAAGATCTCGAAGAATTTGCTTAAGCCTGAAGATAGTTTCTTCGATCTTGGCGGACACTCTTTGTCTCTGGCCGATCTATCATCGAAGCTTTCGCGACGCTTCGGTTTCCGTATTCCGATCCCCCGTCTTGCCGAAAATACTACCCTTTCTGGTCACCTGGACACAGTGCGTGCAGTTAGAGACGGTCACACTGAGGAGGTGCAAGCCAATTTACCCGCAGTTCTGCTTTCTGACTCTACTCTGGATGAAGACATCAAGCCTTCCAACACCGCCATCACTTCGATCACTGACGCGAACACAGTACTTTTGACTGGTGTGACTGGTTTCCTGGGCGCTTTCCTGCTGAATGACCTGATCGAGAACACCTCAGCTCGGATCATCTGTCTTGTTCGCTTTAGTGACCCGGAGCAAGATGACCAAGCTGGAGGTGTGGCTCGGATCCGTAGGAACTTGCTAGACATGGGACTTTGGCGCGACTCGCTTCTGGAGCGTGTCGAGGTCCTTCCTGGTAATCTTTCTCGTCCTCGCTTAGGTCTGTCTCCCGATGTGTTTGATGACATCGCGTCTCGCGTCCAAGTTATCGTTCACGCTGCCGCCACTGTCAACCTTGTCTATCCCTATGCCGCACTTCGCGGTGCGAACGTCGGTGGAACCAGGGAGATTCTCCGCCTGGCCGCTAAGGGAGGTGCGACAGTTCAGTACGTCTCAACCAACGGCGTCTTGCCATCGTCAGGAGAGAACGGCTGGCCCGAGACGACCATGCTGTCTGCAGAAGAGGTCCCTAAGAAGCTGCTTGATGGCTACGGTCAGACCAAGTGGGTGGCTGAGCAGCTCGTGCTCAAGGCTGGTGAACGAGGATTGCCAGTCAAGATTCACCGGTGTGGTACCATCAGTGGCCACAGTGTCACCGGCTCTGCTAACGCCTGGGATTTGCTCACTGCTTTGATTGTTGAGTCTATCCAGCTTGGATACTTCCCAGACGTGGAAGGCTGGCGCGCAGAGATGACTCCGGTCAACTTTGTTAGCAAATCTATTGTCCACTTGGCCGCCCAAACCCAGACCGACCAAACTGTTCTCCACCTGGGCGATCCCAAGCCGGTCGACACCCGGTCTGTCTTTGAGGATCTCAAGGAGCTAGGTTATGAGACTCAACCCCTCCAGTGGGACGAGTGGGTGGCTCTTTGGTTCGAGAAAAGAGGTTCAACGAAGGGTGGAGATGGTTCGTTCACTGTCGATATTCTTCGCAGTGGTATGCCGACTGTCGAGTTCCTTCGGGACATCGTGGTTCTCGACAACGCCCTGACTAGACCTCTCCGTGCCGAGGTCGAGCGACCCAAGGTGGACAGCCTATTGCTGGAAACCTACACCCGACACTGGTTTGCCCGAGGATGGCTGCCCCGTCCCCCCTCTCGTCAACATGCTCTAAACCGCCCTGTGGAGCCTAGCGTGAAGGGTCCTCTCAGCGGACAAGTGGCCGTAGTTACAGGTGCATCCTCAGGCATTGGCGCGGCGGTAGCAGCCGCCCTAGCCAAACAAGGCTGTGCCGTCGCACTTGGTGCACGGCGCCTCGATGCTCTCGAAAGCACCAAGCGCAAAGTCGAAGCCCACGGCGTCAAGTGCATCCTCCGCTCAACCGACGTCACAAGCAAGACCCAAGTCGAAGCCCTCGTCCAGGCAGCAAGCGAAGAGCTCGGCCCCGTCGACATCCTCGTCGCCTGCGCCGGAGTGATGTACTTCACAATGATGGCCAACACCCAAATGGACGAATGGGAACGCACAGTCGACGTCAACTGCAAGGGTCTCCTCCACGCGCTCTCCTCCACAGTCCCAGGAATGCTCTCCCGCGGCCGCGGCCACGTCGTCGCCATCTCTTCAGACGCCGGGCGCAAAGTCTTCCCAGGCCTGGGCGTCTACTCCGCCAGCAAGTTCTTCGTCGAAGCAACCCTCCAAGCCCTCCGTCTCGAGACCGCAGGTGCCGGCTTGCGCGTGACAAGCATCCAACCTGGTAATACATCCACAGACCTGCTGGGCATGTCAACGGATACCGAAGCCATCAAGAAATTCGGCGAGCCATCCGGAGCGAAGATCCTCGATCCTTCGGATGTTGCTAATTCAATCGTTTACGCCCTCACTCAGCCGGAATATGTCTCCGTCAATGAGATCCTGGTCGAGCCCCGTGATGAACCTATTTAAATGATGTCCTCTCCGTTATGTTCCAGATCGGATGCGATGATCTGTGGAGTTTTGTATGTGTTATTACTTATCTCTCAGTTTGCTAGCTGTGGATTTTAAGGCTAGGGTTTTGAGATTCGATTACAAAATCCGATGCCGTATAGTGGTAGATTATAGACTTAGATTTGTATATAAAGAGAATACCGGATTCGTTTCCAATGCGCTCTTCTTCCCATGCAACATCGATCGATCTATTGGCCCTTACGCTGTCTACTTACAAGGTATTTTTTGTTGCAACTCCTGCATATAGACTCCATATAGACCATAAGAACTTTCCCTTCTCCCTTAAACAGTCGGTGTAGCCATCCACTTCGATATACTTCAACGCAACAGGGAGGTGAATCAGGAATAAATCGATATACCCCAGTCCTCAAGCCTCATTTGGCTCTTGGCCATTGCCAATGCATAAGCGCGCGGGTGGTAATTGTTCCAGCGCTTTGTTGTGACGAAAATCTCTGAGCGGGTTACTAGGCCCTCGGCGATGGCGCCTTGGATGCCTTGTCCGGCTTCTTTTTCGTTTTGGCGAATAATCTGCATCCCACTTTGATGGCCTGTTGTTTGTTAGTGCTGCATTAATGTAGACTCATGTATTGAGAATTGCATGGTTAGGTGTAGATATACTTACCTTCCGATTAGAAAATATTACATGCTGGACAAGCTGGAGTTGACTTTGGGCGGATCTTCAATTCATATTATCATAAATTTCTATATAGTACACTCTAGACCTCTTTCACGTCAATCCCCTTCTCAGACCCGCTAAGACTAGTCTCCATAATACTGACAGTATCATCGGCGGGATGCATGGACAGCGGATGTAACCCCTTATGTCGAATCTGTGAGCGCGGCGCCGTAGCCACAACAGTAGTCTCATCACCAGTACCCTGATCCGACAACCCAACCACTGACTTCCCAGAGAAAACATCCTCGACCTCCTCGAGAGAACGGCCCGCGGTCTCGGGATAAAAGGCCCAAACAACAACCATAGCCGCCCAATTAAACCCAACAAAGCAATAGAAATATCTATATCCAATATCCGTCAATGCAATAGGCGAGCACTGCGCAAAGATAAGGTTAAGACTCCAATTCGTCGCCGTAGCCAGAGACGAACCACGCGCCCGAATAGGCGTCGGGAAGATCTCGGATTGGTAAATCCAAGAAATCATACCCAGCGCAGTAAAAAAGAACGAGAATGCAAAGAACATGGCGATGGCAGCGCGCAGCGCATCCGGATTCGCCTTTGGATCGCTAAAGTCGATATACCGCGCGAGCGTGGCTTCGACACACATGACCGCGCCCATACCAAACAAAGACGGAATAAGGAGTTTGCGACGTCCGACTTTGTCGATGAAGGCCATGAACACCGTGTTCCAGAACAGCGCTAGCGCGCCCCAGACTCCGATGATCATCAGGGACGTGGATGTTGATAGGCCGAGTGATTTGTACAGGCGCGGTCCGTAGTTTTGGATTACGTTTGTGCCGGAGCATTGCGTGAATGCTTGTAGGCCGCAGGCGAGGAGGATGCGGCGGCGCCAGTGGGGGGAGGTGAGGAGCTGGCGCCAGGATCGGACGGCTTTTTGGTGCTCTTGGAGGAGGCTATCGTGAATTTGGGAGAGTTCGTGTTCGAGGAGTTGGTTGTTTGTTGCGCTGCGGTTTAGGTGGAGTTTGGCGAGGACTGAGCGTCCTTCGCCTTCTCGGCCTTTTTCAATGAGCCATCGTGGGGATTCGGGGAGGAACCAGATGCCGCAGGTTAGGATGAAAGCTGGGACTACTTGGAAGGAGAGCGGGAAGCGCCAAGAGAAGACTCCGCCGCGGAGGGAACATCCGTATCCGACCCATTGCTGGTGTTGTTAGTTGGCTGGTGTGAGTGTCGAATAGGTAAGTACATGTACTCACGGCAACCATAATGCCCAGACCGATCATCCATTGCTGCATACTGGCTAATAGGCCACGAATCTGAGGCGGGGCGACCTCGCTCTGGCTGCACGTCAGATGAAGCTTAGTAGACGTTAGATATAGCATTGACGTACGCAGTATACAGGAATAGTAGCTGACATTTGCCCAATGGCAATCCCCGCGATGAATCGACCAGCGATCAGCATCGCAATTGTGACTGCACCCCCCTGGAGGGCAGCCCCAAGACTCGCAAGCAGTCCACCGAGGAAGATGACCATTCGGCGGCCATAGTAGTCGGAAACGAATGGGGCGAGGACCGAGCCCACGATAGCCCCCCCTGATCACCGTTAGATCCCGATCGCGGCACGTTCCGACAGTGGAGGGTTACCGGTGTAAGACGAGATGATTCCTCCCGCGGCGGCATCAGATAACCCCGGAGAGCCGAATCGGGCTAGAAAAGCCTCTTGTTCGATGCTGGAAGAGATGACGCCTGAATCATACCCGAATAGAAACGACCCCAGCGCAGCAAAGGCGCAGCAGAAGGTGACGAGGAAGAAAGCCATAATCCATAGTACAGCACAGCTGTGTAGATAGATGAAGTGGACGGGTTTGTTCCATATAAAAGTAAATTTTCAGCGCGTGTAGAATGTTGATCCGCGGGGAGTGGGACGTGCCGAAGGGATGAGTTGATAGGGAAATTACATGTACGCGAGGAGATCAAGCTTAATATTTAGTCGCTTAATCTATAAGATCGCTAGATCACAACTGGTCCCTCTTAGAATGACGCTATTGACTTGGAGCGTCAAAAGAGAACCCGTGTTTATTTCCTCATTAATTCTTGGATCTTCAGATCGTCTGCAATAAAGATGATGCTAATAGGTCCCTGGGGCGTTTCATAATTGTTTCCATTCTTCAGCGCGTCACAGGGCTTGTCAATTGAAGCATTTAGGCCTTGTTTCAACCCTTCCGCATGACTGATCCCCTTTGATGGGGTCGCAAGGGAGTATGAAGTACATTTACATACTGTACTTCTTTCAAAGTATTGCAGGGTATAGAATCATAGAGTCATCTGCTCAGGCCAAGAATAGTAACGAGAGTGAGCACTAGTAATCTTGGCTATAGTTGATCTTCGTTCCTGTCCCCAGGTTGGAGAAGTCAATCTTAACATTGTTCCCCAATAGTGACAGGAAGTGACAGCCCTAGAACTTGGAAGAGATGTATTGATTATGGAAAGGGATATGCCGGGTTTATGTGCGAAAACTTCATTAAAATATCAAACTCGCTTAGCGTCGGAGTTACAAGTTTCTCCAAGGCCTACAACGTGTATAATATAGGCCACGACCTCGATATCTCTCTTGCGAACAGGTACATATAGAAAGTACGAATCTGCAGCCGAGTTTCAAACCCCGAAAGTCATCAGAGTCATGCGGGCGCAGGGCGCGGAGAAATCCTCTACACCAATATACTTCGCTGACGTCTTTCTGAGTGCGCCCTACGGTCAATATGACCGGCTCATACACTCCGAAGTGATTAGACGTGACCTCGGCATGGACTTTGAAAGGCCGAGTCTAGACAGAATCGGGATCCAGTGGAGATCGGATAAAAGTCCGAGAGATCACATCCAGGGAAGTCATTGGAAGAGCCACAAATGCCTCAGGGAAGAAAAATCTGGAAACGGGAAGTCGGCGATGCGGTCAGAAACCTCCGACAATGACTAAACGCTCTAACCTCAGTTGATCTTGGCGGGGAAATACGAACTTGGTCTCTCTTTTTCTCCATTTTTCTCCAAGCCAAGACGTTAGAAGTAAACGTTCTTGTCACCGCTTTCGGGGTAATCATTTCATCATCCTCACATCTTCCTCTTTATACTTTGACTCTCAGCAAAGGGCGATCCATAATAGAATCGTGACTTCGGATCGCCCGCCAAGACTCTCCTTACATGAATCCGTGCACATTACGGACATCAGATCTTCAGTCATGGCGACTATAGGCCCTCATGGCGAGGAGGACGATTCTCTGAACGACTTCAAGTACCACGATGATGATGGCCCCCATGAGGCTGAGGCCTCTCCAGACCCTAAATCACTGCCCATGCAGAAGAGGCGCCGTGTCGGCCGCGCATGCGATGAATGTCGTCGAAAAAAGATCAAGTGCGACGGCAAACAGCCCTGCACCCATTGCACAGTCTATAGTTATGGTACGCAAAGCCCTAGTCTCCTTAATCCGTGAAAGCCCCCGCGGCCTAACAATCCAGTAGAGTGTTCGTATGACCAGCCCTCCAACCGTCGTCGCAACCCTGCCCCGCAATACGTCGAGGCTCTCGAAAATCGCCTCTCCAAGGCCGAAGCTCTCCTCCGAACTGTTCTCCCTAATGTCAACCTCGACGACCCGCAATTAGACGTGCATGCGACGGAACAGAGATTAGCCGCCCAGAAAGGGAAAGATGCGACCGAAGGTGCCAAACAGCCGATTGCCCAGGCGGATTCTGCACCAGAGGCGGGGGATGAGGGATTGCTCGAGACGATGGTCGATAATTCAGGTTGTTTAGATCGGGATGATCAGGGCCATTGGGATTATCATGGCCACACGTCTGGAATTATCTTTGTTCGCCGCTTGCGCAAACAGTTGGGCGCTACGGAGATCGCTAGTCCGATGTCACGACCTCGTGCCTCGATCACATCGCATATGTGGGATAGTCCAAAGTCGATGTCTGAGTCGCCTCAGGATACTTCATTGCCTCCTACGCATGATCTGCCCCCGCGGGCGGTTGCCCGCCGCTTGTGTCACAATGCGATCGACCACGCTTGTTCTCTGATGAGATTTGTGCATGAGCCTTCGTTCTTCGCGAGTCTGGAGCGCATCTACGATACTCCTCCTGAACAATTTAGTAATGATGAGAATTCATTCCTACCGCTTTTGTATATCGTTATCGCGGTTGGATGTTTGTTCTCGGATGATGGAGCTGGCACTCTGGATTTGTCTGGCTACGAAGGTGCAATCGGCCAAGGGTAGGTCCATCTAATATCATCGACATGGACATCCACTGACTGTCACAGATTTCAATTCTTCAAGGCTGGACGACAATTGTTGGAGGTCACTGATTGTCGTGACTTGCCTTCTCTACAAGCGATTTGTTTCATGGTACTCTTCTTGCAATCTTCCGCCAAATTGAGTACCTGTTATTCCTATGTAGGAATTGCGCTGCGCTCATCTCTACGATTGGGTCTTCATCGCACGGTCGCCACAGACTTCAACCCAATCGAACGAGAACTGCGAAAGCGAATCTTTTGGGTTGTCCGCAAGATGGATGTCTACGTCAGCACCCTTCTGGGTCTGCCTCAGATGCTGAGCGACGACGATATCGATCAAGAGTATCCAATGGAGATTGATGGGGATTTTATCACCGCGCAAGGAATCATTCAACAACCGTCTAATTATACGCCGTTGATGGCCGGGTGCAACGCACACACCCGCCTTTCCAACATCATTCTGAAGGTGGTGAAATATATCTATCCCGTCAAAAATGCCCGCTATCGCTCGAAGTCGGACCAGCGCTACATGGTCAGTCATTCTAAGATCCGTGAGATTGAGCGTGATCTACAAAATTGGATGGAGGAATTGCCTCCTGCTTTGCGACCGGGCACAGAAGTGTCACCTCAGCTAGAACGGTCAGCCTACCTCGCGATTTGATATATTTGATTGGATTCAACTAACGTCTCTCAGTATCCGACAATTACTGCGTATCAGTTACGCACACGTGCAGATGGTCATGTATAGACCTTTCCTCCACTACGTTTCTGGTGGTTCCCAAGCGCGTGGTGTAGATAAGCGATCATATGCTTGTGCAGCAGCATGCGTCAGTGTTTCCCGAAATATCGTTCACATTACCACTGGAATGCAAAAAAGAGGGTTGCTCAATGGGTCGTTCTGGTTTACCATGTATACGACCTATTTTGCCATTCTCTCTTTGCTCTTCTTCGTTATTGAGAACCCTGATTCACCAACCGCCAAGGACGGTGTGCTGAAAGATGCCATGGAAGGCAAGAATACACTGGCCGGTTTAGCCAAGAAAAGTTTAGCTGCCGACCGGTGCTCTCAGAGCTTGAACGTATGTCTTCACCATGTCCTCTGATTAACTTTGGCTAATTTGATTGCAGTGCCTCTTCAAGACTTTACCTGAGATGCTCAAGAACCGTCAAAGCTCTAAGACTCCTGTTAATCTCAAGCGGTCAGCGCCATCCAACCAAACAGCTGAGCCTGAGCCCGTCCAATCTTCGTTTGAGAAAACACTGCCACACCGGTCCAGCACTTTCCCTATGCAGATGATGCCCCAAACTCCTACACCCGAGGCTCCGACCCGTCGTCAACAGAGTCTTGACAACACCCAGATGATGAACAACCACCCCAGTGAGAATGGTAGCCAGTCGACATGGATCTCCACAACTCCTGAGCTGCTTACGGAAACCATGTCTACCCCGGAACAGATATCTTCAGCTAGCTCCATGAACCCTTCCATGTCCAACCAGGAGCCATCGAGTCTTGCTTGGGCCCAGCAATTTACCAACCCGGCTAATCTCCCTGACCTAATGCCGATGATGTTCCCCTCTGACGATCCGTTCGCGTATCCCACACAACCCATGTCCACTCTGGAAGATGACCACTTCCGCCACGACCGTGGAATGGCCCCATCCCAATACTCCTTTGATGCAGCCCCACAAGCAAAAGCCATGGGGACAACGACTCCCACCGATCCCCCTGGTGGCGTTGGAATTTCTACCCCGACTTTTGACTTTAACAATCTCCCTAATTTCCCCGGCGGGAATCCCTCGGCGATTAAGTCATCAGTGCCAAGCCGTCTCCAAGCTTCCCATTCTAGAAGCTCGTCACGTATCCACTCCCCGATCTCCCAGGGCCAGACCCCAAGCGAGACCCTCAGCAGTCCGGATCTGGTCTCAATCCCGAACCAGAACTTCGTTTGGCAGGGTTACAACTTCCAACCGAACAACCCCAATAACCCCAACAACATGCCAACCGAATCCGCCCCGCAGCAAGAGTTCACCAGTCCGAATGGACTATCTGATGTCAGCATGGGCATGATGGATGAAAACATGGGCGTGAACATGGACCTCGGGATCTCGTTCGACGACCTATTCGGAAACAATGCTAGCTTCCGACCTAACAATGGGGCATCCAATGACGATTGGACTCAGTGGATGAATGCCAATGTCTGATTGAACCGTTACTTTAACTTTTGCTCGGTTTCTATGAGAATATGCAAGTATGGATGCCAAAATTTCTTGGTGTAAAAACTGTCGATACCAGGTTGGCGTTGTGTGTTGGCTTTGGCGTCTCGCTTTTGGAATTAGCTACATGTACATGCTGATGATCTGTACAGACTGATGCAGTTAAGATCCAGTATAATTGATTTTGCTCGAGTCTTGATCTATAACTAAACTAGCGTATATCCGCGTAACTGAATACGATGTAGGGAAAACTAAGTTTGGGACGACTAGAGGGCGGTTGGGCTAGATCACCAGATCTTCTTCATAGGAATAGTTTACCAGATTCTTTGGACTCACAGTATTCCTCACAATGACTTAATCGTCGCTAAACTTTGATACAATATAACAGGGTTGTAGACAAACGCGGACTATCTTATAGCGGAGGTCTAGCGATCCGTTGGAAGACCCACATAGACTCGCGCATCTCAACGTCCTGACGCAACCTCTCCTTCATACGCGATGGCCCACCACACCCTCACCCTATACATACACCCATGAGGCATAGTCCCTTCAATTAACAAACGCACCAATCGCATCCACAATATCTGCAGTCGCATGCAGTCCTAACAACCCATCCAATCGGATGTACATGTCATTATCGCCTGCATATTTCCGCTCCTATTTATAGCCCACCCGGCACAATGCCCTCCCTCCCGAAGCTGTCAACAGTCATAACCTGGTTCCTATACTCAATCCCAATCTACATCTTCGTCCTCGACCCGCTACTCCGCGGCTTCTTCCCGGGTCTCCTCCCGGCCTCGGACTCGGACTCCGAACCCAGATCCAATAAAGACATCTTCGATTTCGACGACGCCGCTGCTATAGGACCAGGCCTTAACCTTACCGATGATAGCTTCATCAGTCCGGAAGATGGCGTGCCATTCGATTGTCCCAATGCAGGGGGGTATCGCGTGCACCTCCTATCGCGCGCGCCGCTGATAATGTACATTGAGAACTTTATTAGTGAAACCGAAGCGAATCATCTACTTGAAGTCAGGTAAGCAAGGAATCACCACTCCAACCTGACCCAAACCAAACATATTAACACCACTCTCTATTCCAGCATCCCAAACTACAAACCCTCCATCCTCTATGACGGCCATACCGAACGCATAGATCCAACAAAACGCCTCTCAGATCGCGCCCTCCTAGACCGCGACAATACAGTCCGCTGCCTGGAAGACCGCGCGCGCGCCTTCCAAGGCTGGCGCCCGAACCTGTACATCGAGCGCATGTGGGCCCAGCGATATAATACCTCCGGCCACTACCGGCACCACTATGACTGGACGGGGTCGCTGGCACGCGGCGGGGATCGATTGAGTACATTTATGGTTTATCTGGATGCGCAGTGTGAAGGTGGGGGGACAAATTTCCCTAGATTGAAGATGCCACGGTCGAAGGAGTGGTGTCGGTTTCTGGAATGTGAGGATGGGCAGAAGGGGAAGAAGAAGGAGCCGATGCCCGAGGGGATCACTTTCAAGCCTATTAAGGGGAATGCGGTGTTTTGGGAGAATCTAAGACCGGATGGGTCTGGTTACCCCGAGACGTGGCATGCTTCTTTCCCTGTTATGGAGGGGACGAAGGTTGGGTTGAATATTTGGAGTTGGTATCAACCTGGTAGGCGGTAGGATGTTGTGAAGAGAGCACGTGCGTGGGCTGGCTTTTGCCAAGATGTGCTTCTAAGGGGTAGAATGCTTGGGTTTTGTGAAGATGAGATGAGATGAGATGAGCCTGGATATCTAACCTATCTGAACATAAAATAGAATAGAATAGACTTGCGAGACAAGATCATATAAGAAGATGACATGTACTCTACGGACGGGGATGTTTCGTTTTGTGACACTGAAACGCGACTTATGCATACAACCAGCACCATGCTTCCAGGCAACCATATTAATCATTTACGAAAGGGATGGTAGCGAGGCTGGTCGAAGGGGGAAATACCAAGACCCAAGACTCGAGGTCTTGGTCCTCGGAGCGGGAATTATTGGCAGAGGGATCACTTGGCTGCCAAGAAGCATGGCCCCATGTTTCTGTGTGCTTGGCGAAGCAACTTGATGTCAGGGTTGCCACGTCTGTTCCATAATTATTTTCCCCCGAGGCTATTCGAGGAATTGGGATAGATGAATGGCGAGTGAGAGGGATTAAATTACCTCAATACCCCTAATAACTCTAATTTACCGTTTGCCTCCGAAGCACCCGTTGGGCTTAGGCTAGTCCTGTTTAGGTGTCATATCTGTACCTAGAGAGTGCCTGCGATTGTCTGCTTCTTCTAAAACATATTATTATATACAATGTAGTCTCTAATCCTCGGAGTCCAACGGGAAAGATACGTGTTGGCACCGGAATGTAGAATACGCACAGCCCCTTTCCCCCCAGACCAACCAGTCACAAGCCATGGCGCAGCGCCTCTCGGGTCTTGGGGCCCGCACCAACTCTTGGCCCGGTCTTGTCGCTTGGTTGTCTTGTCCCTTTCTTGTCACGCACTCCGCCCGGCTTAGCAAAGCGCTTTTTCTGGGCAAAGGCTCGGCTCTTTTCCCTTGCGGAGAAGGCCCCCCCGTTTTCTCTTCCCTTTATCTTTCCCCGAGGTCTTCCCCCCCTTTTCTTTCCCTTTCACTCTATACTATATCATATCATCTCTTGCCTGTATAGCGTAACTGCTCCTTGTGATTGCCACACGTTTTCGTTTCAACTGTTCTTATCTGAAAGTCGTGTCTGGGCTTTCCGCCAGCACCACAGATTCATTTCTTGGCATCATGACAGATACCAACATCGCATCGACCACGACGCCGCAGGCTGCTATCCCTGCGCCTGTCGCTGATCAGTCCGCTCCTATACAGGCAACCGCGACACCAACAGCGTCCGTCACCGCGACTGCAGCCGCCGCCACCGCTGCCGTCAACAGCCCCGCCATGAACGGCGGCGGCGAGCAACTGCCCTGCCAATGGGTTGGCTGCACTGAAAAGTCCCCAACTGCTGAGGCTCTCTATGTAAGATCGTCGGCTCAAGGTGATAGTGTGGAATATACGCTGACGCGCCAGTTACACAGGAACACGTCTGCGAGCGCCATGTTGGACGTAAGAGCACCAACAACTTGAACTTGACTTGCCAATGGGGTACTTGCAACACTACCACCGTCAAGCGTGACCACATCACCTCTCACATCCGGGTACATGTGCCTCTCAAGCCTCACAAGTGCGACTTCTGTGGCAAGGCTTTCAAGCGTCCCCAGGATTTGAAGAAGCATGTCAAGACCCATGCCGACGACTCGGAAATTCGGTCCCCCGAACCTGGCATGAAGCACCCCGACATGATGTTCCCTCAAAACCCTAAAGGTTCGTCCTAGGATTCTTTTCCGCCCGTTGAGCTCCCCGCTTGGCACCTCCCTTGGCACCGCTCCCTTGGCATTTTACCTTGGATTTTGGGACAATGTCTCCCCGTTGGACCTTTGGACCCCATCGACTCTTTGCATTATAGCCATGATCACTGACTGAACCTACGACATCTAGGTTATGCTGCCGCTACTCACTATTTTGAGAGCCCCATCAGTGCCGTCAATGGCGGGTACTCACACGGTGCGCCTCAGTACTACCAACCCCACCCTCCTCCTCAGCCTGCAAACCCGCATTCTTATGGCAATGTGTACTATGCGCTGAGTCAGGGACAAGACGGAAATCACGCCTACGATCGCAAGCGTGGGTACGATGCTCTGAATGAGTTCTTCGGTGACCTGAAGCGCCGCCAATTTGATCCTAGCTCCTATACTGCGGTCGGCCAGCGCCTACTTGGTCTACAGGCTCTCCAGCTCCCCATCCTTAATGGCCCTGTGCCAGAGTACCAGCACATTCCGGCCTCTGTTGCAGTCGGAGGAGGCGGCGGTTACAGCCCCGGTGGTGGCCAGGCTCCTGGGTACCATCTCCCTCCCATGTCCAACGTTCGCACCAAGAACGACTTGATCAACATTGATCAGTTCCTCGAACAAATGCAAAACACCATCTATGAAAGCGACGAGAACGTGGCGGCTGCTGGCGTTGCCCAGCCCGGTGCCCACTACGTCCACGGTGGCATGAACTACCGTGCTACCCACTCGCCTCCTACTCAGCTCCCGCCAAGCCATGTCACCGCGCACTCTTCAGCTCCCATGATGGCTACTTCGGCCCACTCTCCTTCCGTCGGCACCCCGGCCCTGACCCCGCCCTCCAGCGCACAGTCTTATACCTCACAGCGCTCCCCTATCTCCATGCACCACGCTCACCGTGTGTCGCCTCCTCATGAGAGCGGTGCTGGCATGTACCCCCGTCTGCCATCAGCCACTGTCGTCGACAGCATGGCAGCAGGATACCCAACCGCTTCAAGTGCCGCGCCGCCATCTACCCTGAGTGGAGCATACGACCACGAGGACCGTCGTCGCTACACCGGTGGTACTCTGCAACGCGCCCGGCCGGCCGAGCGAGCTGCGACCGAGGACCGTATGGACGTTTCCCAGGATAGCAAGGAAGGCGGCGAACGCACTCCCACAAAGGAGCGCCCTGCCGTCCACTTCTCCGAGAGCCTGATTGATCCCGCGCTGCACTCCAGCACATCCCCCGACCCGGACCACGAAGCTGCCCAGCGCACCGCGCAAGCTGCTACTGAAGTCGCCGAGCGCGATGTCAACGTCGCCTGGGTGGAGAAGGTCCGTCTGCTCGAAAATCTGCGCCGCCTAGTCTCTGAGCTGTTGGAGGCTGGCAGCTTCACTTCCCAGTTCGATGCCCAGAGTGCCCCGGCCCCGGCCCCTGCCTCTGCCTCCCCGACTCCTGGACTCGATGCTATGGAGGGCGTTGAGACTGGCAGCGCACCTACCGAGACCAAGGAGGAGCCTGCCAAGGCTGAAAGCGAGGCTGTATTCTACCCCACATTACGTGGTGTGGACGAAGACGAGGACGGGGATTCCAAGATGCCCGGCGATGAAGCGTAGATCTTTCTCTGTTCTTCGAGGCTTTAGCCTGAGTAACGCCGTGACGACATTTTGTTTATTGCCATGTCTTTCTCTTTCGCTACCTCGTTTTCTTTACTATATTTTCTCTTTGTCCTCTTAAGGCTGGTTTCCACTTCTTCCATGAACACAAATTCTCATTTATTTGCTTCTTTTTTTCCCCTTTTTTCCCCCTCTCTCTACGCTGGGTCCATGGGCCCCTCTTTTTCGCTCTGTTTCCATTTGTATGATTAGGATCCTGTTTATTGACGGAAAATGTTGTTTGCGTCTTTTCTTCCAATTGTATTGTAGCATGTAGATCCTGTCTAGAACGTGGTTGATACTACGGTTCACTGAGTCCGTTGGCTCCGGATCGACATGTCAAACCCAAAGGGGCAAGACAACATTCCAGGCTAAACTGGATCCGGGGGTGACGCAAACGGTGGGGTGTCTGACAATTTAATCATATGAAGTAAAGATGTGAACTGTTGATAAAATGTAGATGGAGATATTATAGATGTTTAAGTTATAGTTATAGATCACGAGGATAGTAAGCGCGTGTTATACATACAGACAATAGACAACTTGCACTTGCACTCAGAGTTAGAATGTCAACAGCTAGCCTTAGAATGTCAACACGTAGCCTTGGAGCTGTCATTCCAAAGCAAACATCAACTCGATCCCCCTCTGCATCTGGCAATGTCTTGTCTGCACTCGGAAGCCTCGATCCCACCCCCATGTACTGTATTGGTATTTACGTCATGTTTTGTACCTGCAGGTGGGCTTCCCACTTGTATTATACATGTTTGTGACCAAACTCCACAGTTTTCATGGTCACCTCAGCACATCTCATTTATTTTCTTCTCATCTCTTGTTTCTCTTTTGTATCCTCTCTCATTTTACTTTGTCGACTTTGTCAACTCTTTAACGTTGTGTTGTACCTGTATCCCCACGCGACAAGGCGGTCACCCCAAACAGACGCCATCGCGCGTGTCGATCGGCCTAGGGATTATCGATAATAACATCCAGCCACACAATATCAACTACTTGGGGCTTGACGACCCTCTTCCTTTTCTTGTTTACTAACCTCATTTACTATTGTGGTTTATTTTCCCTTCCTTTTTCCCGGTGGCAAATTACCAATCCGTTGGCTCTAACGTTCTGGTTCTCTGGTTCTCTGAACGCTTTTCCGATCTTGGGGGGCGCTGAAATCCGGATCCAGAGTTGACTTTGTTTTTTACCCTCTGGTTTTTGCCTTCGACTTGCCTCATCTTTGTTACCCGCTGTGTGTGTTGGGTACTCGGACTTGGACTTGTCAACACACAAAAATCGATTTGCGATCCGGTTGCAATTACACTTTCGGAAAGGAAGATCCAAATTCTTGCGATATGCCGCTATCAAACCGCCGCCGCGCGCGGCGCAAGGAAATCCAACTGCAGGAGACATCTGACGCAGAGGCACCGGACTCATCGCCCAGCCGGCCCTCCGCGAAGAAGCGCAAGGTAAGTCAAAACAAAGTCTCCAGTCCTAGACGCAACCCAGCCCCGCGCAAAACAGGAACTAAAATCCGATGTTTTCCTCTGATCCAGGTTGAGCGCCGCACCTCTCCTCCCCGCAATGTCAAACACGAGTCCGGCGACGAGGCCGAAGACTCGACAGGCGATCACGAACCAGCCACCAACCAAGACCTGGTCGATCTAGTGATCTCATATCTGAACACACCCCGCGAAGAACTGCGCGTCTCACGCGACCACTCCAACACCAAAACCGAGAACACACAGCGCATCCAGGCCTACGCGAAGATCGCCGGCCGCAACTGGACCTATTACGTCAAAACTTTGCATGTCAATATCGGCCGCGAGCCGGACCGCGAGCCGAGAGCCCCCGAGCAGTCCAGTCCCGTTGCCATTGCCGCTCGTGCATTACCGGAGGTCCATGTCGACTTGGGCCCGAGCAAGTTCGTGTCCCGTCTACATGCTGAGATCTTTTACGATGGCGAGGAGACGCCCGCCTGGCACATCCGCGTCAATGGCCGAAATGGCGTGCGCTTGAACAATGGGATAATTAAGCGCGGCACTGATGCGATTCTATCATGTGGCGATATCATCGAGGTGGCCAATACCCAGATGATGTTTGTGACGCCTGGCGACGAGGCCAATATTCAGCCTAGCTTTATCGAGCGCGCTCAGCGCATTGCTAGTGGTCAAGAGCCGGACCCGGCTTCAGTTGCCTGGGATGCATCGCAGCATGCCCATCCACCCCAGGCATCTCAGAATAGTGAGGCTGCGCGGCCTTCTTCGTCTGGTGGGCCGTCGTTGGCGCCTGCTCCGCAGTTCCTTAAGCGCCAGGTTACGCCGCCACCGCGCTCGCCTGATACTGCTGGCCAGCGCACGGCGAAGCAGTCGCCGCTTTACAACCGTGGTATGATGATGGAGAGTACGGAGGAAATTGATTACAGCAATGATTCATCGAAAGATCTGAAGCCGCCGTACAGCTATGCCACGTTGATTGCTCAGGCTATTTTCTCCAGTGAGGAGGAGAAGCTTACGCTGAATAGCATCTACAATTGGATCATGGACCGCTATGCCTTCTACCGGCATTCTCAGAGCGGCTGGCAGAATTCAATTCGTCACAATCTGTCCCTGAACAAGGCGTTCCAGAAGGTCCCCCGCCGGACAGATGAGCCGGGCAAGGGTATGAAGTGGCAGATTGCAGCAGAACACCGGGAGGAGTACCGGAAGAAGCAGATGCGCAAGGGTGGCACGCAGTCGTCTGCACCGTCATCCCCGGCTACAAAGGAGCCCCCGTCCTCAGCACGCGGAGCACATATCACTGCTCTCGACACTTCACTCTCCGCCACAGCCAAGAAATCCCCACCGGTCTCGTCACCCGGGTTCAGTTCATTCCCCGTGGCACCAGTCGAAGCCTACACACCAGAGCGCGGCTCGAGACTCGGCCGCGGCGTTGGATCCGACCACCCGCTCCGCCACATGAACCCACGCGACTATGAAGAACCATCCCCACTACCCGCGCGCGCTAGCCATGTCCAAAACAGCAGCAACAACCTCACCCGCGCATACGGGATGTCCGACAACGTAACGGGCTCCCCACCCGTCCTCTCCTCCTCATACTACAACGAAGAACCCTCCTCAATGATAACGCCCGCTCCTCAACGCCAACAACCCCGCCTCCCACCCCCAAGCACAGCGCAGATCCCATCAAAGTTCATGCCCATGAGCTCGCCGGCTCAGTTCTGGAAGTTCGCCGATATTGGGTCTACACCTGCCCGCCCCGTGCCGGATATGAGCCCGCTCAAGGGCGAGGTTGGGGATCGCATTATTCGCGGGTTCCCGAGTAGTAGTCCTCCGCCGCCGAACCTTGCTAGTCCTTCTAAGCCTGGGACGTCGAATGGGTTAGGCTCTGGGCAGAAATTGCCGCCTATTCAGACGGAGCCTTCGGATCACGGGGCCAATGGCTCGAGGAAGGAGGAGAGGGTTGAGGATGAAGAGGATGATGGTTCTGGCTTTGATCTTGCTAGGTATGTTTCTCTCCCTTGGGAATATCATATATTTTCTTGGGATTTCGGGTCCGAGAGGCATGTGCTAATATTTTGAATAGGGGTTTCCAACCTATCGGTTCATACCATCGACAACTAAGTAATGCTGCTCGTGCTACAGCTACTTAATTTGCTTGTCTTTCATGATGTATAACATGTCCACTATCCCAAAGAGTGTTTAAGTTTGTCTTGTTTATCACCTCTTTCATGCTTCCGCATTACGAATGGTGTTGGTGGCTTTGTTTTTGCTTTTGGTTATCCCTATATCTGTTTGAATGTTTATTTGCAAACATTGCTGGGAACAGAGAACGGAGTTTGAGTTTGAAACTGTTTCCATTTTGCTTGTTTTTTTTCGCTGGGGGTTATGGACATTCGGTGTTTTTTTGCTTGTTTTTGTTCATGTTTGCGCTGTCATCGCGGTAGATGGCTTTGTATGTATGGCTTCGACTTTGTCGGCTGTGTATGATATTCTCACATACAATATTGTTTGCATACAACAGTGCATCTAGTGTAGATTGTAAAAGGAATCTTTTTTGGTTCAAATAAACCATCTATAAAGATCCAATTACTTTTTGCCTCTTCATACTTTCATCCCCAAAGAAACATACACAAAGCAACCCCTATAGCCCAATATAAACCTACTGATAAGGCTCAACATTCGGCCAAAACCTCTCCTCCAACCAAAGAATCTGCTTCCACCACTCCAAACACCTCGCACGCATCAACTCAGACTCCTCAGCCCCCTTAAGCTGCTCAGCCATCTCATCAACAACATTCCCAATAGAATTAACAAACCCCTCAAACTCATCACTCGACCAATTGGCAATAAACTTCTCCCTCAACGCTCCCCCATCCGCATCACCCTTATAATCCTGCTTCTCGTTCACATTCTGCCTCATATACCCAGCCGCAAACTTCCACGCTCGCAGGTAACAAACCTCCGTAGCCCACAGCACAGCCAACCCCTCCAAAACCGAAACCCCCGCACTACCGGCACTCATAAACATATCGATATAAGCCCTCGTCGTCCGACTAGCGCTGAAAGAAATAGTCCCGCACCGCTCAAGCTCGGTAACAACATCCATCGCTTCAGGCGAGCGAGCAGGTCCAGGTCCAGGTCCACCAGTCCCAGCTCCAGTCCCATCCGCCGTAGCAGACGAAGTCGTCAAAACCTTGCCAAACGGCGACAAATTCTGAACAGACTGTGTGTCGAATTGCGGTTGCGGCACGCACATCTCGCTCCCGGCTGGCATTTGACACTCGCCCTGCGAACGACAGAGTGCATGGTCGGCGGTTTGTGCGCCAGAACCAGTAGCAGCAACGCCCTGGGAGCCAGAGCCAGGCCCGAAATCGTCGATTGAGGGGTCGCGGGCTAGGAGGGCTTTCCCATCGCGGCCGCCAGTGGAACCCGGGCAGGCGCTTGAGCCTGTAGTTGAGATTCCAGCTGAGGTGGTGATGCATCTACCAGAGCCGCAGGAGGTACGCTCACCACCACCACCTTCCTCGGACGAGATTGCTGTGAGATCGAGACCGTAGTCGTTTGCGGTCGTTTCGAAGAAGGAGAGTTCTGTGCGGATGTTTACGAGCGCGTCGATGAGGACTGTGATTGCTTTTTGTTCGGGGGTGTTGTGCAGTGGGTTTGGGCTTGACGGGGCTTGCGAGGGAAGGCGGATTTTTGCGAGGAGGAGGCCTATGAAGCGGATGTAGGATTGGGCGTAGAGCCGGTCTTGGGAGAGCCATTGGCTTAGGGTTGATTTTGGGAGGGTGCCGCTGCCTGCCGCTGCTAGAAAGGGGTGGTTTGTTGCTCGGGCCAGGCCGTCTGGCGCGCTTCCTAGCAGATAGGTTGTCAGAGGGCCTTGGCTGCTCATTTTGGTTGGTTGTTGGGGAGGGGTGTAAAGAAGGGAGGGACAATTTAGAGTAAAGATCTGGTGGGGGCGATAGTGGGATGAAGATGTGGGTATGTCGTCAGATCGGAGCTTGGACGTTGCCCCATGTCTTACCCTGTAGATTGATTGTACTATTTGTATATGTGAATTAGGGAATGCTCATTTGGCCGATTTAATGGTATTATTATAATGAAGTGGGCGAAATCTAGAGAAAATACACAGACTACACATACGTAAGTTATATACTTGAGACCTAGCTCAACCGAGTCGTCATACACGACACACCACAGTCTGTAACTGAATAAATGTTAAATATAGCAACGAGTGTAGTCAAATCAAAGTCAAAATGGAGATGCATTTGGCTCAAACGCTAACGAAGCTAAAATGTTGATTTGTGCACATTTCCATTGTATCTTCAACTTTCGGACGTTCCTCCGCATAGAAATCAGATCTCGACCTCTGTCGATTCACCGCCAAGCTTCTCCTGAGACTTCTTGGACTCTTCCTCGGGCTCCTCCTTGGGCTGGGTGGATTCCTTCGCCCTCTCTTCCTTCTCATATGCCCACGGCTTCTCTCCAGCAGCCTTCATCATCAGACGCACAAGACCATGGAGGGTGTAGTGCGCATCATTGCCCCCGTTGTGCAAGTTCACATGCAAGACCTGCAGCGATCTCAGAACATTCTCCAGGCCTCGATTCTGAAGCTCACCAGATTCGGCACGGTATAGCTCTGCCAGGTCGAGAGTGTCATAGAAGATTGACCGAGGGGTATTGTAGTCAAGGAAAACCTGGCTTGCATTGCTCCTGAGCTGTTCGATATCGCCCTTCAGGTTCAAGCCAACCAGGACGATGTTGCGCTTCTGATGCTTCCACCAATAGGCGGGGTCTTCTGCAGTGGGAACCATGTACGGAGGTTTGAATGCTTCGTCTACGATCCGTCCAACTTCGGCAGATGGGACAAACTCGCTTTCGCCAAAGTCAAAACTACCAGGACATCCGTGACAGAACTCCGAGTTGGTCCAGTGCCGATATTCATCCACGCGCAGGTGTCGAGAACGGATACGGGCCACCCACATCTCGCCATAATCACCCGGGACCACACCTTCCAGGTCCATCATATCCAGAGTTGAGATGCCAACTTCGGTCAGCTGCCAGGCCTGTCGCTCATTCCATTCGATATCGATGCAGATAAAGATAGGCGAGTCTTGGTAAGTCCATTTGACAGTGCGCGTGGGATCGATGGGTTGAATTTCGCCGTTAGCAAACGACGGCTGGTGCGTGTTTGCTTTCCACAGAGGTCGCAGACCAAAGAAGGCCATAGCACGACCTAGACGTTCTTCGGCATCTCGCTTCTTCTTCTTCGCTTGCTGGGCCTTTTTGAGATCTTTCTTCTTGATCATATCGAAGGAAAGCCGGATGCTTGCTTCAAATGCCTTCATGGCAACAGCCTGCAGCCCATGTGACCAAACTCCCCATTCAAGAGGGGAAGACGGAATAGTCTGGACCAGCTCATCCTTCTTCTCAGCGCTACTGCTTTGGCCAAGGAACACCGGAAGTGGGATTTTGTCGTTGCCAAAGGTGAGCACCATTCCCTCTCTGCCCGTGCCGGTGAGTTGAATCTGGCTCTTCAAGGTCGAATTCATCTCTTCAATGAAGGAAAAGGCTTGCTTGGCTGGAATGAGAAGCAATGCCCCCTCACTAATCGCCTTTGGAACACTCAGATAATACCTAGATACGTGTTAGTGGCAGTCAACCCGACCAAGTGTTGTTCACATACAAATCCCAAGATCGTCTCCAGAACTTCCCTCCGTCATAGAACTCCGAGGTTCTCTTGGCCAAGTCTCCGCCCATGTGCCTAAATGGAAAACGAGCAAGGGCGACGGCCGGGGTAAAGGATGAGGAAACTGAGGTGTCCGAGGACACAGTGCTCTCATCTGGGTCAACGGTGGTGGAATCCTCTGATGGGCCAACATCGGGGTTGGGGTTAGCGTCCAAGATAGCATCGTCGCACGGTCCCGTGAGGCAACCCGGGGACTCGGGATCCTGATGCAGTGGAGTCAAATCGTTACCCTTCTCCTTGTCGTATGCTTCCTTTACACCTGAACCGGGGACGTAGGTACGGATGTAGGAAAGCGGATGATGGCGAACAAGAGGAAGCGCATGGGGAGACGAGTGTGGGGAGTGACTAGGATCATTCACACTTACGCCTTCCTCAGTGTCACGCAGCCTATTCAGGCCAGGGGCCAGGTTCAGGATATCCATGTTGTCTTTGAATAGCAACGTGAGACGATCGCGAGGATCCATCAGTTGAAAGATGAACTTAAGGGAAGTCGAGTAAAGAGAAAAGAAAAAGAAGGAGAAGGAGAAAGAGATCACGACAAGCAAAGATAAACAGACACAAAGTCTTGAGCACTTTGCTTCTGTCTAATTAGGAAATAATGAACGTTGGAAGGAGCGAACCAGCAGCATACGAGATATCACTTTGATCACTAGCCATGAACAAAGTCACTTTGATCGATAATTTAAATGATGTGATTACATATTGCAAATGTACATGTAATTATTGATTCCATTATGTTCCAGCCCTAGGCGAAGGACTCGAGAAATACACCGGAATGTAGAGGAAGAAGAAGACAATCAACCTGTGGAACTTGTATAGATCTGGCGTGCACGTGACGAGGGAGCTCCCCGAACAGGGCCGGGGAAATGATGACCCGCTGTTTGGGACCTCGTGCAGCGAAGGCATCCAGCTACTCTGGCGCGATTCAAGGCCTATAATCGTCTATTCTTGTTGTTGAACTTTCTTATCGGGTATAAGTCCATCGAGACTATTGCGTTGTGATCTGGCGACACAGCCTCCCCTTTCGCCTCCAACTACGCCCTCCTACCAAACATGGCCATGACGGACGAGACAGACGACAGTGGGGGTGTCATCCTGGATGGCCCGTTTGACCCTGACGCCCAGGCGACCGTGACAGATTTCATAGACTATACCGAATATCTTCCCGCCGACCTCATCCGCTCGTTGACCCTCATCCGCGGCCTCGATGACCGATACCTCGACTCGGCGCAAGGAGTGCATCAGCTCACCCAAATCTATGGCCAACTCCCTGACCTTCCATCTGACAACAGACCGGGCGCTATCGAACTGCGCAAGGATATCTCACTTCAAATGGATCGCGCAATCAATGCGCGCGAGTCTGCGTATGCCGAGGCCTGTCGCCTGTACGACGTCGTGGATCGCCACTTCGACCGACTGGGTTGTATCCGTCAGAAGCTGGAAGCACTTCCAAAACCCGCGTCATCGGGACCGTCGCCGGCCCCAGAACCCACTCCCAAGCGTGCGCGCACAACCAAGAAGTCAGAAGGAGCAAACCCGACGCGTATCACCCTTCGGGTCGATAATCGCAGACCTAGAGATAATAAGAGGAGGAAGCGTGCTTCGGGCCTTGATGGAGCAGGCTTCAATCCTGACTCCCCGATCGCCAGTACTGAGCAATCAGATGCGGAGGCCGAGCTCGACACAATCATCCCTAAGCCATCCAGACCGAAGAAAGAAAAGCCACGTCGTCAAAGCTCTGGTAATGGACAGTCCACGGCTCAAGCTCTAGCGCAGTTGAAACCACCACCTGAGGATGCGAAGTTGGGTAGCGAAGACTTGCCATGGCTGCGGTTGACTGAATGGGAAATGACACGTTTGCGAAAGAAGATGAAGAAAAATGCTGTGTGGCAACCCAGTGAGGTGATGATTCACCGCGAGTTAGCCCTTGCAAACCGAGGGTGGGAAGCCTACAGGTTAGCCAAGGCTCTGGCGGAGGAGACAGGCGTGGAGTTCATTGACTGCGACAACATTGAGCAGACTCGCCGGGGCGAGGCTGCCAAGGACCTGGAAGAAACGAAATTGAGCAACCGTGGAATGAAACTGAACGAAGCAAAGAAACTGAAGCGCGAACAGCTGGCTCGTGAACAGGCGTTGATGGACGGCGATGGAGTATTACCCAAGGCTGTACAAAGCCCTGCACAGCCAACACCCGCCGCCAATCGGTCCTCCCGGAAGAGAAAAAGAGAAGAGGTTATGGTTGAAGAGCCAGAAGCCGTCGCTCCCGAGCGTACACCAGTGCCGGTCCCTGCGCCAGCCCCAGTTTCTGCGCCTGCGCCTGCACCTGCAACCTCTTCCCGATCTGGCGCTCGGCGTAGATCCAGTCGAGGAGCCGCCCTAGCCACAGAAACCAGTAATGTCGTCGTACCTCCAATCAAGACTCGCGTCTCTCCCCCCGCCGAAGCCCAAGTCTCTCCTCCTCTCCCCAGTCCCACTGGCTCCCGCCGCTCCAATCGATCACTTATCCAACCTATTACCACACCGACTCCTCCCGTGACCCGACCCTCCTCACGGCGCTCAGCAGCCGCCGCATCAATTGAGATAGGGGCTCTCGGCGGAATCCATGCCGCTTTAGCAGCCAGTGGACGCGACCAGCGCATCAAGAGCGCAACACCTACCCACAAACGTGAATCATCTCATGCCCCGAGCGTTCCTGGGCCGGCCCGTCGACGAAAACGCCCTGCGCCAGGTCCTATTTCCTCCGGCCAGGATGGTGGAGCGGCAGTGAGCTATGGACGCCGAAAAGCCAAGCCAGGAAAGAAGCGCATTAGCATCCGCGACTCTCAAGATGTTCGAGTTGATGAGGATGGGGTACTTGAACAGATTGATGTCAATGAGCCTCGCTACTGTCTCTGTGGAGACGTTAGTTTCGGGACAATGATCTGTTGTGAGAATCCAGATGTGAGTTTTACTTTCTCTCCACTGTCCTTAGACTCAATACTAACCCGACTTAGTGTGACCGCGAGTGGTTCCACCTGGACTGTGTTGGTCTGACCGAGGTTCCTTCGCGCACAGCCAAGTGGTACTGCCCCCAGTGCCGGGTCAAACTTCACAAGGGAGAAGATGGTATTATCAAGGGGGGATCACGACGTTAGTTATGGGATGGTTTGAACTTCCTTGCATGATACCACGAGATGCATTTGCGGGTTTTCGGCACACTATTTGCTTATTTGTGGTGTTTAGGGTCTTGATACCGGTTGGCTATTAGATCAAGCTATTTTTCTCAGCCAAGTAATTTTTCATTTATCTATGTATCAACATTCTTACTCAGGCTTACTTTGTACATCTGTCCTTCAACTAGGAGTCTCTGCGTATAATTTCTGTCACATCAAAAGGATATCATAACTAATTTACTCTGTAGTCGGCCGCTCCCAAGACATTCAACAGAATATGCTCAGCAAACATGCCATGAGACACACCTATGATCATTTCTACCATCCAAAGGGCAAAGATATAAACATGGATCTCAAGGATCGCCTGACTTGCTATCCTTGCTCAAAGGAGTAATTTACTTATATTCATCGGAAGTACTTCTTCAACCTAAAGTTGGGTACATTATTCACAATAATTTATTGGTAGATACTACTGTTTCTCAAAACTTACATGATCCTTTGTTGTTTTCCTCAGCCAGGGAGACTCGAAATGGCACTCGTCTAAAGCGCCATCATCAGGAGACACGTCACCGCAGCCCCCATAGCAGAAGCCATTGTCAACCAACCGCTCACAAACACAGCAGGACCAGCAGTCCCAGCAGCTGCTCCCTTTGACGTAGATGTACTAGCAGAACCCCCAGTAGGATTAGAAGTAACGGTGCCAGTCCCAGCGGCGCCACCAGCCTGGCTGACCAGAGCATTACAATCACCGGAACCAGCGTTCGCAGTCTGAACCTTAGCCGCACCATTGAAATCACATGCAGAGCTGCTCTTACCCTGACTCTCGTAGTACTGATTGAACGCCTGAGAGAGCTGGTCCTTGCTAGTACACACACTGTAGGCACCATAGTCTGCACTGGTCGCATTGTGCGCAATACCATCGCAGATGTGTGTGCCGTATCCACACACTTCAGCAAAGAGACCGGAATAGTCTTCTGCCTTGACAGAATCGCTAACCACGCAGGATAGACTAGCAACCATACAAGAGCAAAGCTGTTGATTCGGAGTCGGGGGCAGAGGACTCGACTTTGCGAGCCAGCTCTCGTTAACGGTTGGGCACGCACGCGGCGAGTTGGTCGGGGAGTAGCTGGCGCTGTTTGTGCCGCTAGGGGTTGCGCTTTGGATCTGGCTAGAGTAGTAGCTGAAATCGATTTCGGTGGTGACGGAGTTGCCGTCTACTGAGACGAGGCCGTAGTCGTTGTCGGTTTCGAAGTACATGTAGACGATGCCGCCGCTCCATACATCGCTCATCTGTGGACCGAAGAGGACGGGGATATCGGTGAACTTGCGCGGTCTCACGGTATTGCAACCGTACTCCGAGAAAAAGACCGGAATGGAGTAATTCTGGTATTCATTGGTTCGGTCTTCATATCCTGAGGTTTGGAATGTTTGGTCGCCGCACCATTCGTAGATATTGTAGCCGAAGAAGTCGATTGCACTCGACTGGTCGCCGCAGTTTAGATAGTCCGAGACCGTTGTTCGGATATCTGACTGGTCAGTTGTTGCGTAGCCGATGGCGAGCGAGCTCCGATAGCTTTTGTCTTTGATATAGGTCTTCATATCCCGAGCAGCAGCCTTGACAAAGGCCGCGGCGATGGTTTGGTTCACCTGGTTGACAACCTCGTTGCCTATAAAGAAACCAATGACATTGTCGTACTTTTGGAAAGCATCGATGACACTGGTGTATCGCTCGTATTGATCGACCGTCCACACGGGAGAGTTCGCTTCGATAGAAATGTCGGGCGATGACAGGTCACTGATCACGTAGATGCCTGCGTCGGCAAGCTTCTGCATACAGTCATCGTGGTTCTTGGTTGGGTCCACGGTGTATGTCCGAATAACATTTGTGCGCAATTGCGTGAGATAGGGAATGTCGCGCTCGCAACTGGTGAGATTGAACAGCGGATCCTGGTAGCCAGAGTCACTTGTCTGACCGGTGCCACCAGCTCCTCCGCCACTGTAGTTTTCTGCAAGTTTATCAGTACTGGTTGGATCTGGCGAAGCTTGTTGTCGTACCCTGGTAGGCTATGCCTCGGATGTAGCTAATCTATTAAGTTATTATGTGTGACTCCCGTGGACAGAGATAAACTTACAACTCGGTTCCATTGTTGGAATAGAAAAATTTGGAGCCCTGGAGAGCATTGTAATTAGTTTGGATGATGTTTCAAAAAGGGCCGAAGTATCTACTTTGATTTCGATGGTGGGGATGCTGGCAAGGGCACTTTCGACGAGCAGCAAGGCTGCCGCGAAAGCTCGGAGCCTCATTTTGCGTAAACGAATGTTTTGCCTGAAAGATCTGCGTGGCGACAAGCGAGTGTGAGGGACAAAAAAAGAAAGTAAAGGGAAAGTTCAGGGAGTACGTCCTCGCTCAAAAGGGTTTGCAGCAGCCTAGAGATAAGCGTCGTGACTAGGGTGCGTGATTGTAAGCGAGGTTATGTTGGGCAAATCATGGCTCGAATGTCTCAGACTGTTTCCTTATTTAGAGACATCCGGCATCCGACGGCTCGAGCAGCGAGGACTAAACAAGCAATAAAAAAGTGGACTTGATGTCGCTAGTCCGCAATCAAGCAATTCTCTATACAGCTAGTAATCTAAATAGTACACTAACGTCGCCCATTTCTAGGTCATTTCCAACTAGATATTTCTCGTATTCTACTGGCTTCCTAGGCTCCAGGGTTTCTCAGGGGGGATTTAGCAACCATGGATACTATTGAGACCAAAAGCCTCTACTAGAGGGCTCGAGCGCAACCTTGTAATTCAAACCAGAGCTATTGGCAAGCCAGTGCAAATATACGAGATTGCAATTTATTTAGTGGACCCAGGTGTCATTTAACATCAATCCACCTGTAGAAACGGTGATATAAGGAAGTTCGCAAGGGAAATGCCGCGGAGGAAGGGTTCTCTCTGTTTGCGCTAATGCGGGGCTAACATGAGGGTCGCTAGAGACGGAATCCCGGGAATTGAATTGCTTGTTTATGGCTAGGTTCTACGCCACCAAATGTACCAACCTAGCGCTAATAGTAGGGGGCCCTCCTCACTTAGACACAGCTCACATGTTCGCTTACTAGGTTGACCCCGAGTCGTCCGAGTGCCCTTTCATTCAACATTGTCTCTCTATCTTCTTGGAGATTCTGGGAAAATTGAATACGGGGGGCCAAGTGAGTCACACTCTCGCCGATTTCTCCCGGCCAAAGTCCCTCTCGAGTGGTAGCTACTCCCGCAGATTGAGACTATATAGTGACCTTGAATCTGTTGAGGTAAACGTATATAATCAAGCCTCGCCAAGCATCCCGCTATGAAGCTTACCCGCACCCCCACCGGTGATCAACAATGACTTCAGTGCGCACATGCCAGGATCGACTCTCACAGCCACCTGTCGAGCTCCTGGTTATCATTTTCCAGCAATGTACGGACTTCAATGAGCGAGCTTGTGATATCGTCAGTACTATTCTGACGACTCGAGTACTTATGCAAGCTGTTTTCCCTACCATGACTATAGCATCGCAATTAGTATTAGAACGAGTATCTAGATAAGTATTAAAAACGAAATCAAATAAGTGTTTGAATCTATATCTAACAGAGGATTTAAATGACTATTAGAACGAGCAAAGCAGATCCATTTCCTTGTGCCTCAATAATAGGCATACGTACCAGCCCATTAACTACAAACCCCCTGAACAAGTAAAACCTTCACGACTCCTTAGCCCACTGCTTGCCACTCCACAGCCCCCCAGTAGTCCATAGCCAGTAGTCCCGGCCCTTGATCGCCCACACCATCCAACTGGGCAACTGGTAACCCATGGCGGCGCCCACGCCCTTACTCTTTCCAATTGGCACGAGCTGCATCTCACGAGTATCCTCCTTATACAGACGATCAGCGGGGAGGGCACTTTCCTCCTTCCCAGCAGCAAGAAGCAAATCCCGCTTGATATTCGCACACAGAATAGGCACCGTATTCAAAATATTGTGCACTGCGGGACGCGCATGCGATCCCACATCTCCAATCGCGTAGACCCGTGGACCAGCAGCGTCCACACGCAAAGACGAGTTGGTCTCGACCTGGCCCGTAGCGGTCAATAAGGACTCGTGTATGAAGCTGGTATTGGGCACTGCGCCGGTGGCCGGGATGTAAAGATCAGCTTCGAGGGTCTGGCCGTCTTCTAGGGTCACTGTCACATTGGCCGTCAGAGCACTCTCAGTTCCTGCACCAGGTGGTGATACAGTTGCAACGCGCGAGCCCTTGACCACCTTCACGCCAACCTGGGCGAGGAGTTCCTCCGCCTTCTTCGCGATTGCAGGTCGCAAGAGGGGGAGGATCTTCGTGTCCGACGTCACTAGGGTAATGGGGACCTTGGGATTCTGCAATCCATGGCTGAACCAGCCGGCGCGGCCGTTGAGATATTCGCCTAGCTCACCGGCTGTCTCTACACCGGCCGGGCCTCCACCCGCTATGACAATGTTTTTGGCGTCGGGGAGAGCAGTGCGGAAGGCATTCCAGTTAGCGCGCAGGGACTCGGAGTCGCGGTTCAGTCCTAGTAGAGGCGACGCAGTGGATGCGCCTGTGGCGATGACTAGCGCGTGGTATTTGATCTTCTCGGTTGTGTCCCCCTTGAGGGTCACAGTGACATGGCGATCCTGGTGGTCGAGTCCCGTCGCGGTACCTTGAATGAACTGGAAACCGTTCGGGTACTGTTCGAATTGCTTCGGTACACTGACGAAGAGCTTCTCCTGGGGGAACATGTCATCTGAGATCAGCGCGCGAGGAGTTGCCTGGCGACAAATGGCCTGCGACGAGGTGCTGACGAGGACGACCTGATAGCTCGCTTTGTCGGGCAGCTGAGGGACGACATGTTTGAGAAGGTAGTGCACGACGGATACGCCCCCGTAGGAACCGCCCAGGACGACAACATTCTTGCTCTCCTCGACCATCGTGGGCAGGCAGTGAGATATTAGGAATTAGTGAAGGTCGAGAGGTGGTCGAAGATGCAGGTAATAGAGGACTGAAAAGAAAGTTCCCCCCTATTCTCTTCGTCCAGCATTACCAATCTAACTCTCCCTGGCCCCCATGGCTTGCGACTGGTTCAATCGCCATCGAGCACCTTTGGTGGCTGACGGGCCAAGGCAGTTCACTCGACCGAGCCGACTCATCGGATCCCGACTACGACTGCCGGCCGCGGAGGTCGGAACCAGGACTTTTTCACTCCAGCGTTTTTCACATCAGATTGTCCTCCTCCGGTGGCCGAGCTGGAGAATCGTGGGGGAATGAGAATCGAGGAGAGATGGATGTCGAGGTAAAGAAAGGCGATGCATCTGGGCTCCTTGTTGCCCGGACATCGCCCGTCAAACAAACTCAACCTTACTACGATGCCCACCCCAGTCTCCCATATAACTCGATTAGCCAAAGAGTCCGAAAGTCATTTGGGTAAAGACGAACTAGCCCAATTAAGTATGATGCGATGTAAACACCTGGGCATAGGCATACACTTGGGCATTGTGGATGAGGTGTGACAGGATTCTTAAGTAATCATTCGGGCGAATGGCCTTCGGGGCTTGGATCTGCCGTATAGGAGTACAATATATCTAATCTTAGGCTTCTAAAGGGTCTTACACTAGGCTGAAGCCAATTGTTGAGATTCATGGCTTATCCAGGCATCTCCAGGCATGAAATGCCTGCTTCGCCAAGCATGAAGCTCATGAACAGCATTGAACCTACCATATAGAGTATAGTTCAGGGGAAATGCTTCTCATTAAATATGATCTCTCTCTTATGGAGGAGAGATCAGACCTAAACAACCTCGTTGGCATTGACTAACTTATAGCTTCCTAGTATCATTCATCGTATCTCTAGTTTCAACACCAATGACATTCTAGGTCCTTAACTTACCACTTCAAACATTTATACTGTCTTAAAGCCACACGTCGCGAGGCTTACTTCAATCGCCAGGGCACTATGTTAGAATTAATACAGATGCTACGCCTTCCCTGCGATGGTTGATAAATATGGATCCATTTCATTTGGCCTTTTACATAATTCCAAATTACTTTAGCTCCCATTTATCTCCCTCAGACACAATCTCAACAGGCCGCCTCTCATCCAGCGACTTACGTCCAGCATCTAGGATAGCAGTTGTGCCAATGGTATTGCGGAGGGTAGGCAGTGGGCGGGCATCCAGCTGATCAAGGGTCACACGGCCCTCGTTCACGGCAGTCACAGCATCAATAAACTTCTCGAAGCTGATGTAGCCGTATCCGGTCTGTCCACTGAAGTTGCCCTCCTCATCGGGAGCGTAGCGCATATAGAATCTGCGTTTGGGGTTAGACTTGTAAACTGTATGAGGGATAGTCGGAAGGTCTTACGGATTCACCCAGATCAGACCCTGGTCATCGCCGGTCACGTCGTAGCCGCGCTTAGCTTGGTTAACGCGGATTTCACCGTTGGCGGCCATATCTGGTTCAATGCGTTAGAATGGTGTATGTGGGAGTTAACAGGTGTTCAAGAGATAATAAACATACAGTGGAAGTACTGGTTGGAGTGAACACCAGCGTTTTGAGGTGCCGTCCAGCTAGCAGTGTAGACACCGGTAGCAATCTTCGATGGGTCATCACGACGACGCCACTCAACCAAAAGAGTAATAGTATCCTCGGTCTCGGGGACACAGCCAAGCGCAGCAGCGGTACCCTGGGATGCAGTAGCTGTGACCCGCACAGGCTTGTATTCCGGGACCATGCTCTCACAGATATCGATGTGGTGAGAGTTCAGGTAGTAAGAGATATCAGAATCACGGCCGGCCCAGGCCTTGAAGGTTTCGAGCTGGCTCTTGGGCTGACTCATGTAGCTGTAGAAGTAGTTGAAGTCACCGAGGGTCTTAGCCTTGGCCCGCGCATCAGAGTACGCGGGGTCGAAGCGCTTGTGGTGCTCGACGAAGACGAAAACGCCGTGCTTGCGCGCGGCCTCGACGAGGGATAGGTGGTCGCCTAGCCGCTGGGTTGCGGGCTTGGTGATCAACACATGGTGCCCGCGCTCAATGGCGTACAGGGCAATGGGGTAGTGGGTTGAGTCGGGGGTGAAAATTGTAATGGCGGAGCCACGGGGGAGGGCGTCAATGGCGGTCTTGTATGCGTCTGGGTCTGTCTGGTCGTCCGCGGGGAACGAGGCAAATGAGGTGTCGAGGTTGTTGTAGACCTGTGAGATGTTGCGGTGCAAGTGGTCACCTAGTATTATTGTTAATCGTTTTCTTTGCCTTGTGTTCCTTGTTCAACTTACGGATACCGGGGAACTTCTTGCCCGACACGCCCACCATGCTCAGGTCGCCAACCTTGCCTCGTCGGCGCAGGTCAAACAGCGTGAGGCCTACCACGCCGACCTTCTTGTCTGAGCCGGAAGCACCACCACCGACAAATCCAGTGGTGTACTCGCCGGTGCCGACCTGTCAATTTGTTAGCTTGCATCTACTGCGGGGAGTCGCTTGCCATACCATCAAAACGCTAGGAGGAGCCATGATGTCAATGATAAAGATTGTAATCCGGGGAACTCTGGGGAATGAAGACTTTTAAGAAGAGAAAGCAGAGAAACCGGGATGTTTAGTTGCTGGAATAATTCTTCCGGCGTTTGAAGCTCAATAGCCGTCATATCTTATCGTCATGCCTTTTTTATCTCTCTTCATCTTTTTACCTCTCTACTTCTTTAATTATTTTGCTTCTACATCTACATGCTCTGAATAATCTCAATTGCCTTTTTTATTCAGCTTTGAATATACTCATGCCCTCCTTGCTTCTTCAACGGCTATTCTGCGCCGTCTTTACCCGCCTTCTACCCCTCATGCCCCCACACTCGCCGCGCATGAAGTGATTGGTGGAATGCAATTCTCCGCCATACAATGCGCCTCGGAGCATTCGCCGACGTGGGGGAATGATGGCCCGAAGTGATAGAATTGTCTATATACCCCTCTCATCCAGGCAAGTTGTTCCTCAATCCAATCAACTCACAAATTCCAGAATCATGTCGCCCACCGCACTCCGACCCGGCGTCTATGCGCCCACAATGACCTTCTTCGACGCCCAGACCGAAGATCTCGATATTGCCTCTATCCGTCGACACGCCGTGCGCCTGGCCAAGGCCGGCCTCGTCGGCCTCGTAACAATGGGCTCAAACGGTGAGGCAGTGCACCTCACCCGCGAAGAGCGCATGACCGTCACTCGCGAGACCCGCTCCGCTCTCGATGAAGCCGGCTTCAAGAACGTGCCCGTCATCGCCGGTGCCAGTGAGAACAGCATCCGCGGCACCATCGATCTTTGCAAGGAAGTCGCTGCTTCTGGTGGCGAGTACGTCCTGATCGTGCCCCCCAGCTACTACCGCTACGCCGTCGGTAACGACGAGACACTGTACGAGTACTTCACAGCCGTCGCCGATGGCTCGCCCATTCCTCTTATCCTGTACAACTACCCCGGTGCCGTTGCAGGTATCGACATGGACTCCGACCTCATCATTCGCATCTCCCAACACCCCAACATTGTCGGCACTAAGTTCACTTGCGCCAACACGGGCAAGCTGACCCGTGTCGCAAGTGCCCTGGGCGCTATCACCCCCTCTTCCCCTCTGGCCCCGGCTCAGCGCACTGCTACTGTCTCCAAGCCCGACGCCAAGCATCCATACGTTGCCTTCGGTGGTATTGCCGACTTCAGTCTCCAGACTCTGGTATCTGGGGGCTCTGCCATTCTCGCCGGTGGCGCTAATGTCCTTCCCCGTCTTTGTGTGCGCATCTTCACTCTCTGGTCTGAGGGTCGTCTCACTGAGGCTATTGAGGCTCAGCAGCAGCTCAGTGCTGCTGACTGGGTTCTTACCAAAGCTGCCATTCCTGGTACCAAGGGTGCTATTCAGTCTTACTACGGATACGGTGGCTTCCCCCGCCGACCTCTCGGCCGTCTCAGTGAAGAACAAACTAAGACTATTGCTAATAAGATTAAGCCTGCTATGGATGTGGAGTTGTCTCTACCTGACGTCGCATAAAAGCTCGGCTGTATGATCCATGCCTACTAATATAAAATTCAAATTATAAGTTTTGATCAGTCCGGCTAAGTAGTTTAAACCTTACCATAGACTTTGGCGATCTTTTATTTATCCAGTTCTGTGATACTTGCCTACGGCAGTCTACTGCCGCCACTATTAAACCTCGTAGTCTAATATAGCTATATAGTAGAAGTATCGCGTAATATGTCACGATAATATCAACTATATAATTATCTATAATACGGTTAGGACTTCTTACTTTTTGCTCTCTTTTTTGCTCTCTTTTTTGCTCTCTTTTTTGCTCTCCCATTAATTCGCTTCCTTTACCCACTAGCCGTATAGGACATAGTATAGTATAGATAGGAATAGCGGGATTGCTAATTTACTACGGGCAGAATTCTTTCAGTATCTACCGTACTTGCCATCTAAAGTAGCATACGCGGATATTATACCCCGTTTTGATATCGGCATATACCACTCAGTCGACTTTTTATTCTTGAAGCATACACCCACTCTATATCCTTTGGTGAAATATGAAATCCTCGGAAATCTCTTTCCCTCTAAACACCATGAACGAACCACCAAAAACGATCCACCCAACATGGCGATTTTTCTTCCGATGTGAGCGCCTCGAACGAGTCCTCGCCATCATGAGACATATCCCAACGCCCAATTTCTCCGAAGAAGATCTTCTCGCCACAGAAGTCGATCTCAACAAGATAGACGAGGAGTTCGGCTTGGTTCCACCATGGAAAAAGAGGGGCCAAAATAGGGCGAAAACAATGAAACGGTCTACTCGCTTCAAGGCTTTCGTGTAGAGACCACCCGATACTTCATGGCACTATATACAATACTCGCCGATTCCATAAATCTTTCCCGCTCTCATGGTGTGGCGGCTCGGGTTCAACACACCCGAAAGACCGAACCCATCATTAGCTACGAGATGAAGTGAAAACGTATCAAAGCTCATTCAAATAAGCAGCATGAAAGACCCCCTGTTCTTATAACCAGATCCTGACCCTAGTAAGCCCAAGCCCTAACTCCAAGCCCTGCATACTTCTTATCACGATAAGCCCGGAAATCAATTTGTCCCTCTCCTCTCATTGGTGGAAAATCTCCCAGTAGAAGTTGATACGAGAGCCCCAATGCGACAAAGTAGACCATGGATGTACAACCCTACGTAGGCAGGTCAAGCGTTGGTGACATGTATACCCCCAAATTAGACTCCACAGGACAAAACAAACCCCACGCTGCCCAGGAATCTGATCTTCTTCCAGCGCATTATCTTTCCTCTCGGATGAGACATTCAATCCATCTCGCTCTTTGATTCCCGGACCGTAGTTGCTAGTTCCGCCGGTGGAGTCGTTTCGCGGTATGATGTCCGAGCCTGTGGGGCAGTCGTACTGTACAGTATAGGTAGACTGTGGTATTGTGTCACCAGTGAGACTATATCCCGCATTGGTTTGGAATGGAAAGGTGCTTCGCGATCCGTGCTCGTTGCTTTTGGAATTTTCGTGGTGTTGATATACGTACCCCCCTCCACCCCACGCTGGTCTTTTTTTCCCCTGTTTTTCTGTTCTCTTCTCTCTTCCTCTCTTCTCTTCGTATCTACTGCCTGCTTACCGTAGAGGTTCAAGACTTTGATCAATTGCTCTTTTATCTTCACAATGCCTTACCCCGAGGAAGCTGAGGGTTTCCAGGTCGATGGACCTGCGAGCTTTACCCAGTTCCACAAGCGCTTCGTGGGTTTTTTTTGGTTTGCTTTTTCTAGGGACTGCGCTGACTTGGTTTTGGGATATAGTTCAAGCTGAAGCCCTTTGGTGACTATGGTAAGTCGTGCATCATATCTCATTGCGATTGGCCTGGGACTGACTGTGTATAGATGTCGATGTTAAGATCGAGGCTTGCGGTGTCTGTGGCAGTGACGTGCACACCATCAGCGGTATGAAAGGCCTCAAGAATATAAAGCATTAAGCAGGAGCCAAGACTGACAATCTCACAGGAGGATGGGGCGAGCAAATGTTCCCTCTCTGCGTCGGACACGGTAAGCATCCCTAAAAGAAAGCACTCAACCAAATCCCTCATACTAACACCAAACCAGAAATCATCGGACGAGCAGTCCGCGTCGGACCCAAAGTAACTCTAATCAAAGAAGGCAGCCGCGTCGGTGTAGGCGCGCAGTCCTACTCCTGCGGCACATGCAAACAATGCAAGAACGACAACGAAACATACTGCCAAGTCCAAATGATGGACACTTACGGCTCGAAGTGGCCCGAGACAGGCATCATCAGCCAGGGCGGATACTCCTCGCACGTGCGCACACACGAGCACTGGGTCTTCCCCATCCCGGACGCACTGGAAAGCAACACCGTGGCGCCGATGCTGTGTGCCGGGTTGACAGCGTACTCGCCACTTGTGCGTAACGGCGCTGGACCAGGGAAGAAGGTTGGCATTGTTGGACTTGGCGGTATTGGGCATTTTGGTGTTATGTTTGCTAAGGCGTTGGGCGCGGAGACTTGGGCTATTTCGAGGTCTCGGGCTAAGGAGGCTGATGCTTTGAAGCTTGGGGCTGATGGGTATATTGCTACTGCTGAGGAGGGGTGGGAGAAGGAGCATCTTTGTTCATTTGATTTGATTATCAATTGTGCTAATTCTTCCGAGGGCTTTGATTTGCCCAGGTATTTGTCTATGATGGACGTTCATGGGCGCTGGATTAGTGTTGGACTTCCTGAGGAGGAGGGACAGGTTATCAAGGCGCAGAACCTGATTTCGAATGGTGTGCTCATTGGTGCTAGTCACTTGGGTTCTCGTCGGGAGATGCTTGAGATGTTACAGCTAGCTGCGGAGAAGGGTCTTAAGGGTTGGGTTGAGGAGATTGCTATTGGGGAGGAGGGCCTGAAGGAGGCTATGTTGCGGATGAAGAAGGGTGATGTTCATTATCGCTTTACTCTTACGGGATATGAGAAGATGTTTGGTTAGGGGTTGTATGTATAGAAGGGAGTTAGTGTTCTGGAGATTTATAGATCTTGAAATTGGTATCTTTATCTTTATGCAGTGCAACAAAGTAAGTTATGCATAATGTCTTTGAACCAAGTATAGCATTTCTTGTACCTTTGTTTCTTGAGTCAAATTTAGAAGGGCGTGGAAAAAGGTCGCCACCCGGTGACAAACCAGAAGGTAACGGTACATGGACCCGCGGTCAGATAACCGGGCGATCGAGGTAGAGGTACTCCGCAGTTCGGTTCCCCCATATTTGCCCCCCGACACTCTAAAACTCTGATCCGTGGGGCGGGTTCCCTGGGAAGTACTCGGTACTTAGTTTTGCTAGAACTTAACCACTTGTAACTTGTACCAGGTACTCTCCAATACCTAGCCTTGGAACCAATTGCTCCTGCTCAATTCACCGCCCGACTCTCAGACCCGTTCGATCGGCTTTCTGGAATTCTTCCGCCCTTTTTATCTCCCCTTGCGCCGTCGTTTCTTTCTGTTTGTTTCTCTATTGCATTCATTCTCTTTTTTTCTCTTGGTTACTGGAGTTCACAAACGGTCGTTATACATATACTCGGGCTCCTATAGATTTGCCTTTGAACTCCCCAAGATCATCATATCGACATATATTTGATCTGTCTCAGCCCCTGTCATTCATTGTCCACCGCTATCGATTCGCGGCGTTCAGATTCACACCGCTTGCATACTATTTAGCCCTTCACATACGAAGCGCGCATTTCATTATGTCGCCACGAGAGAATAACTCCTCCGCCGCCTCCACACGACGGCGCCCCTCGTTGTCGTTTCGTCCTCGCCCCCGAACAGCAGCTCCCGCCCCAGTGTCAAAGGATTTTGGTTGGGATACCTGGCAAGAGCCATCCCTGGTGAAGGTGTGCCAGGATGGCGAAGCACCAGTGTTGGAAGAAATGGAGCCGTTCCCAGATGCAGTGCCTCGGCGCCGCGGTGCCAAAAGCTTCTCGAGCTTGCGGCACCCTGTGGACGGCATCGTTGCTCTTGGACGCCGGCTGTCAGTCAGCCTTCGCAACAAGTCTTCCAAGCAAAATCTTGCTGTGGTGGAAAACGTTCATGACGACCAGGATGGCCATGAACAGTGTGAGGATCGCCATTACGCTCATGTTACGGGTTGTACCGGGCACAAGCATCATATCGCCTCCGGCAGCTGGGATCCCCGGGTGGCACCGAACAATTGGCCTCGGGGGTATAGCATCAATCGTCGTCCTTCGTTGAACAGTGTGTCTGCTCTGCATGGCTTCTATGCCCCCATTGCTTCAATCCCAGCCCCCATTCCGGGTCGGGGGCAGGAACCTCCGATTCTGCCGAACAATCGGTTCGGGGGTGCGGCGGCCCGCGCCGCTGCCGCTGCGCAGAATGAACAAATGGAGGTTGCACGTATGGCCAAGGCTGAACGGGAGTCGAATAAGATTCTCGAAATAAGAATCCCTCAGGACTCGGAGAGTGGCATTGGTATCGATCTTCGCGATCGGTCAGAGGTGTCAGATGTTGATTTGCCGGGTATCCGGCGTCTTGGTAAGAGTCATTCATGAAGTATGCTTGTAACTTCCCTGCTAACATATTTCAGACCCCATTGGCTTCCTCCCGGCTGAGATTTCAGCTCACATTCTCTCATATCTGGACCCTGACTCCCTTATGACCTGCGAGGCTGTGTCTCGTAGCTGGCTCCAAGCGTGCTCCTCGCCCGTGTGGAAGCGCGTTTTCCGTGGTGCATATGGCCGACGCCCTACGAGTGACACGACCTCCAAGATGAAGCAGTCTTCCGGGCTTGGCAAGTCAATTCCGAACCAAGATTGGAAGAAGATGTACTTGACCCGGCGCGCTCTTGATCAACGCTGGAAGGATGGCAAGGCTGCCGCCATTTACTTGCAGGGCCACCAGGATAGCGTCTATTGCTCCCAATTTGACGAGTACGTTCCACCATTCATCATCTGACCCAGTGTCACGCTAACCCACCTAAAGGAAGAAAATTATTACAG